TATATATAGAAATTTTGCAGTAGCAGCTATGGCAGCAGCAACAATGGACGTTCTGGAGAACTCTGAGGATGCCAACAATGCGGAGCTTCGAGTGAGTTTTCGCTTTTCAACCGTTAACGTTGTTCCTTGAGAAATTTAGTGTTAGTAATAAGTAGTAAAAGGGATAGTAATATTTCTATCATTCCTCGTGTACGATCTATAAGAAGGCCTGGTCGTTAAAAAATGTACACATTGTTGAATGTTTACTGATAACAACCATAGCTATTCATGAGGAGGCCTGAACTCTCTTTAGTTATTATGGAGTTAAAGATCAGTTTCGTATGTGGTACATACATCGTAAATACAGAACAACGGAAATGTATTTGAATAAACCCACCTTCCCGTTGGCCCAGTTTGCAGCTATACAACGAGGACATTAGAAGTTGTGTGAAAACAATACTGTTTCATAGTACATGTAACGTATGATGTGCATGTTAACTAGCTGGATGATATTCATTGGAAAAATTTCTCCAATAAAAAACCGCGTCTTTTTTGAAATTCTTTTTTGAAGTATATGAGACTAACAAATACGAACGGCACAGCCAAACTAGACTAGAAAAATCTAGGCGATTGGTGATGGTGCGAAACATGTGCTCTTTGAAATCTAACAGAATTCATCTTAATTTGATGCGCTTCTAACAATGAGGGGACGAGAAGGAGGGGCAATTCACAGAAGCAGAAAAGTATCGCAGTGGTACCAATGCGAGACCCTCAGTGCGAGACAGGAGAAACCTTAATCGGCCGTTAGCTGCTTTTTGCAGCAGAATGACACCGTTCTTATCGGATTCAACGAACCAATGATCCAGCTAATCGGTCCGACTAAAATGCCCTTGCCATTCTCTGCCTCTCCCACTGCTGTCGAGTTCGTCCAAGCCCGAAATGACCAGCGTACAAACAGAGTTAAATAGTCCTACCATACTGTTGATGTTGTGCTTCTGCTGGTAAAAATGGTCGCATCTGTGAAAATGAATCAGCCAAACTCCGTGTTCCTTCTGCTCGTCGTATCGCTCGTCGTGCCGCTCGTCGTGCCTAGTCAAGCGCTATATTTGGACACGTTCTTAAGCCCTATTAGGTGGTTGGTCAACGCGTTCCCGCTTCCGTCGACATTGGAGTCGCCCTCTGCTGCAACTGACACAAATCAATCGGCGAACGGCCACACGCTACCGGTACATGTGCACCCCTTTGTTGGTGAAGAGCGTGCCAGCCATTCCGATGACGGTGGTCACTCTGGATTACAACACCGTTCAGGAGCTGCGCTTGATTTACCTTCGTACGACTCACCGCATATAGAAAAACTCGGCAGTGACATCCTGGTTTCAGTACCTTTCTTTGACAATAGTTCAGCTTTGAGTCTAATTCAATTCTTAATACCAGCAGAGTTGATTGAGGTTGCCGGGGATGTTCTCAAGCAGAAAGGATATCCTCCCAACTCGACGTTTGTTCTCAATCCGTTGACTTCATTACAGAAGCCCAATGGTACTCCTAATGTCCCTGGCGTCCCGGTGAAGGCAAGTTCCTCTAATATTACAACTTCTGCTAAAGGTAGCTTTACCGTTGTTCGCAATAAAGGCCAACCTCAAAATAAGGCTAGTCCGCAAGAAGATGACGATTCCACGACAGAAAGTGTAACTATTCAAATGTCGACGGAAATGGCCGTACCCTTTAGGCCGCGCCCGGTTCTCCATCGTGTGAATGAATACACCAACTTCACTGAAGACGAGCTCAGTCCTCGCGAGGCTGATGCTCGAGGTACGCATATGACGCAGGAGGCTGACTATGATATTGCTGTAAATGTTACGGACGACACAGCTTCATCCGACGATGCATTATCGAAGCAAAAAAGCAACTCAGAAACAATTCCCATTTTTACGCTCGAAGACTTGTTTAGAAGTCCAGATAATGTACCGGCAACTGTTCGTCTTAGCGACGATGGCGAAATCTACGAGGTTGATAGTGATTAAACAATAGAATATCATTTTTCAAGGGTACAATTGTGACGGACACGTATATACACCCCCATTGAATAACCATTCAGTGACGTGTATGTTAGGACGAGTCATTGATGTAACCTACATTATTGTTCGTCGAGCTGATTGTAAATAAATAGCAGCAACACATCTGGAATATTTATAGGGTTGGGAAAATCTTTCGCTTGTATCAATTTTGGTAAGTTTACTAACTTACCAAAATTGATACCAAAAAGTGCAATCTCGAAGTGTGTCTACTGGCGGGATAATGTTGTGTCCTTCCTGTAAGTTTCTAACTTCCAAATCTTGACATAAAGACCTTTTTACGTTCGTCGTGGGAAAAAAGACGCTCATCTCCGCCGATAGATGTTTTAATCTAAATAAAGTGTAAAATAATTTCACATAATTGTATTATACACACATCTTTTTGAACCGCCAAAACGGAATCAAGTAGATTATTAATTTTAGGAATTTGAAAAGTATCTGAAAATAGAGTGATAGTTTAAGATACCTTCGCGGACCGATAATCACCATCCTACGAGCCGCAACGGTTGTAGATACATGCGTGATTAAATAGAAAAAAAGAGCTTAAATCAATGTTACTTTAGACCTTTCTAATTATCACCGATATGGTATTACCGTTAGGTATTTAATAAGCAGCTATTTTTTCAGCACTATATATCAATGGATTTTCTAATAAAGGCTATCTTTCTGCAAGTCATACCCTATGACAGTAATTGATAATTTTAGATTATATGTCTTGCTCATGACAGGAAGTTGAATGAACATTTAGTTACTTGATTTGAGTCCGTCGGCAAGGACATATATGATGAAGACGGGTGACCCCAAACACGAAACGGCGCCCTACGCCCAACTTTACGCCTAGGTCGCTTCTGGCATTTAGTAGGCAGGCGCCTACTTTGCTCTAAACGCAACCCTGGAAACTTACAAGAGCAATTTGGAAATACTGAAATTATTATTCGCGTGTTTTAATTGATGCACGGCATCTCAGTACACGTTTACCTGAAGTCGTATCGATGAGGTACGCTCTCGTACATTGATCCCACTATTATGTTGCTATATTTTAGTGTGAACAATGTAAAATTGACGGGGTTTCTTCGGTTTTTGCCAACCAGATTTAGGCAAAATCAAATGATTTTGTCGCGCACAGGTCTTCGCTATTGACTAAATTTACTAATTCAGCTCGTTAATATCATACACCCAGCGTAACGAAAACTATAGTTCGGGTAAACACTGCACGAAACCTAAGAGTGAACATAATATACTTTGAATATGGGTTTATCCGCTATTGCGGCACCGAACCTTGTGAGTATGACGGACTCGAAGCATAGTTGCGTGTAAGAGAGTATTAATAAGGTTACAGATTCTCGCGTCGTCCTTGCTTTTAATTTTGTTTATTTTAGTGGATAACCTGAGATAAACGTGTCGTTTCGGCCTACATGACAGTGTATATATTAAACTCCCCCCAGGGTGGAAATGAGGCTAATCGACTACACCGCACGTGTAGACTACCCCAGGGTAAGACTCCACCGGCTGAACGGGATCAGCTCAAAGTGACCACTCTAAAAGGCCTGTTTGAGTCAGATAGAAATACACGCGTAGAGGAGAATATTTAATTTTATCATCACCTTAATCACGATAATAATATCGTCATACTTTTTTCTTAGCTCCCTCGGCTTATCGTCTATTTGTACGCTAATACGCAACGATGAAGTGCGCGCTTGGCCTAGTGGTCACGTAATTTACACGCGTGAAGAGCCAATGTTTAGCAACCTATGTGCCGGACGTCATTCTCAAAGCATTTAGCATGAGCGCATCTATTACTTCCTTTCTTCTCACTACGGAGATACTTTTTTGCGAGAGTAGAAACGTGCGCAAGTGTCCAGATCCAAGTATATGACATACGCAAAACTGCCTTATGATACTAACCTCGTCAGTGCTTCGGCTATCACCAAAATAGCAGTAAGCATATCATGATTATAGAATAAACCAAGCTTGTTAACTGTTCCCTTTGCTCGTGCAGCGGTAACCCGTTCGGCCACCGAAGCTACGGACCTATGGTGGTATAAGGTCAAATCCTAGCGTAAACACGCTTTTTCATCCCTAGAGTGGCCTGCCGTATGGAGCAATACTAAGCTGTAATTGGATTCAGCATTTACTGCGGCCGCAACATCGATATAGGCTAATGTTTGATTTTCGCCGAACGCAAACGACGCGGATTAGTAAAAGTCGAACTATTCGTAACTGATAATCAATATACTGTTTATATATCTATGTAAGTTATTATGGCAGCCAGGCAGCGTCGCTTACGGAGATGGTCGTTTCTTCTACCCTGCTTAAATCTGTTTTGGACGAACATAGAAGAGAACGTAATTACGACCGGAACCCTACGACCGCAAACAATATAAGCCAATATACGTCATATGTCTTGGTGCACTTCGATAAAATGCCCAGACTAAACGCCTACTCCTGACTGATTTTTAGATTACAATGCGATATTTCGAGTTTTACGTCCGGTACCGCCATTAAACATCCCGACACGTGGCTGGATCTCAGTGGGAAACGAAGTTAATCGACGCCCAGATTCGGACCCAGAATTAGCAAGAACGCGTAGTCTGCTACGCCAGCACGAAGACCACTGTGGTCGACGGTTCGTCGTCGTCGTTTTAAATGTTTCTTTTAAAAGATGAATTAGCAGACGATAAGTTGTAGCGCATCGTTCACTACATAGTTTGTAGTTAGCGTGATTATGCTAGTTTATCTCGATTCGTCCTCGAGTCAAGATCGAGACTGGCAAAATGCGCGCAAATCAGTTCAATACCAAACAGGTAAGTACCATTATTTCCGTTTATAATACAGGTGAAATTTGAAAACATCGTCATTTTTGTTGTCGACATACTTCGCCCTAAAGAAATATTCATCTAGAGTCTTCGCTGTACAAGTTACATACAGTTACACATTTGAACACAGATTTCAGGCTGAACTGAACCGTGAACTTCTGAGGTAAGATGCATTCTCACTACGATCATGTGGTGCACTTATGTGAAGCAAAGCATATGAGTGTTTCAAGCTAGCTGTTAGATAAAATAGGATCGCTGCAAGATGGCCACAAATCTGAGCAGCAAACATGAGATTATTGCATAAGTTCAACGAATTCGTCGATCTCACATTACGCCGTAGAAGGGACCGACCACGTGATTGCTACATCAAGGTTCCTCGAGATGTGAAGCGGAAAAACCTTCGGAATATACTTACCTTGACTGTACTCTATTCAGGATCGATTTCCTTAATTTAGTGCCCGTTTTGGTAGTTCAAGTTCGGGCCTATAATTCTGCCGTTGGGCATTCTAACATTTGTCTCCCTAGACACTAGCACGTCCTGAGAACTTCAAACGAATGAATTCAACACCTCCCCCCAGACAGACGTTATTTGTGTTATCGCGGCATTTGATCATCTTTACAAGCACAAACAAACTGATTACTACCTACCATGTTTATACGTTTATAGATACAAAAAAGCTTAAGCTATTTAGAAAAAATACATGCAATATATTGGTCTGCTATGGTTTATCTTGCGATTAAAAACTTGACCTTACTAACTACAATTATCGAAACAGCTCGAGCTCGATCGAGTACAATATTTCATAAAGTTATCCCTGTTATGTGAATCTGAAAGCAGATCCTTTACACTATCCAGTAAAGAAAAATCTGCATATAGTTAAACAGAATGCTGCACTTCTATGTTTACCTGCTACTTCTTGTCTTCCATTGCAGAAGTCCGATTCGAACCGTAAAATGTTTGTGGGCGGGCTTCCGCGGAATTGCAGCGAAGATACATTATTTAGTGCAATGGAGAAGCTCTTCGGACGAGTAAGTTGGGAGCTGTTCTACATCAATACTTATTTAACTAAGAATTTTTCCGAACTCTCTTTAGCTAGAAACGCTTCCAGATGCATTATTGTGCAAATACGTGCTGTTTACTATGGCTGAACTTGAATCTTGACACTAATACCCGACTCGCGATTGTACCCGTCCGTGAAAAACTCTAGTTACTTACCTTTAACGTGTATTGGTTTAACTTAATTTAGGTCGTCCGGGCTCGTGTCCAGCGCTGTATTGTGACGCAGGTTCCGAAACGGTTCGGCTTTGTTACATTTGCTAAGCCTGAGTCTATGCAAAGGGCTTTACAAGAACGTTGGGTCTATATAACCGGCCATGTGGTATATGACGATTTGCGTTATTTACCCCTAACTGTAAAATGATCATATTCTAGTAATTAGCTTGGAGCACAAACGAGCAGGGCTGGAAAAGCTACAAGGATAATATCTTGACTAGGCTCATTTACGATATAATGTAATTCGTGAACGAAGGCGATGGTAGAGCCTTGGTACCTAGTGCAGATTTATAAGGTCGCTGAAAACACAGACCGTGTATCTACTCCAGTTGGTCGCGTTTTATAGCTACTACCTTTGCCAGTTAGTACCATGCTTCCAACATTTTGTTAGATATCCCGAAGAACTACATATTAATGACTTATTTTAGTGCGAATGTAAGCTTGCCCTTCCGATAGGTTCGCCCGATTTGCAGATGCGTCAGGGGCAGGACTATTCACGCAGCGTTGTGGATTTTCGCGAAACAAACGAAATTGAGCCTTTTCCTCTTTATGGCCTCCAGGGTGAGTGCGTTAATTCTACTCGACAGAGTTTGATGCACCGGCGAAAGAGCGTTTTAACAACAGGCCCTATGTATATAGTTACTTGTGACTGTGCATTCTGTATTCAATCAACGATGAAATTCTAAAGCGATGTTTTCTCTACTTCGGGATCGAGTACTTTTTGACCAAAGAAATCCACCTTAAATGCTCACATATACACAAGAAGCAGGCATACGTAGGCTTACATCATACCTGGGTGTAAGCAGATGTGGAAATGTTTCGAAAAACTGATGTTTGTAGGAGCTTTTCGAAATTAGCTACCTTTAATAATGTTACCTTCTACATTTAGAACACTGTCTGAATAGAGTTGATCTGCTTCTGCATTTGTTCCATTGCTGCTCAGTTTAACTGGTCTGACGTTGACCAGGTTTCGTTGGGAGTCCTTCGGGGAAAAACTCCCCTTCTGTCGTGCTTTTATAAACCCTTGTAGTGGCCAATCTTAGTCGATCAGTCGATAAAACGAATATGAAGTTAGGACCATCCAAACGAATCGGCCTCCGCTGTTCGATGCTGTTACTCAATTATCTCTACAGCACAGGCATGTCTTTTCTTGACGTCATATAGACCCCATAGGTAGCAGCAAATTAACCATTATGTTGTTTGTACAGGCTAGCCTATAGTAGTCAAACGTTGCGTGATAGCGAATCGTAGCGTACTTTTAATGGCAGCTCATGACGAAAAGCGGCCTCGTCCTAAAATACCGCAGTGTTGTTTTCTTAAACTTTTTCTATCCAGCGTTGAAGTACAACTAATCAACTATCTGTACGCTACAGTTCAGGCAACATCAAACTTTGAACTTACTCCAAGTAGAAATCCATGAATAGGATTTTTTTCTTAACTTAAATTAAATTTCTTAACTTAAAATTCAATAAATACTACTAGAATGTACAGTGTTGACGATCTAAAGATAACAGTGAATTCTCTCAGACATGAGTGTGTTTCATCGTAGTTTTCGTGTGTCGGGCCATGCAAATTCGTGAAAAACATGTAATATTGAAGAACAGAGTGTGTATGTTCTGTTGAATGAAAAAAAAAAACTCCATTGCAGCCGATAGAAGTCTCTTCGGATCGGTAAATCGTATTCAACTGAAACTTCCCTTCGATTTTGATTGTCGGACATGTAACGTGTTGTCTTCATTGAGAATGTACTGAAGCGACGCATATGAGAAATTGTGTCCTTTATAATTTTCGTACCGGAAAGAAATTGCTTGAGAAGTCGAAGGCAATAGAAGTTTGTTTGTGAAAAGATGATTTGTTAATTCTGATTTAATCGCTTCAGAACGAGAAATGTCAGCTGGAACAACAAACGATGCTCTGGACTGCGAAAAAAAAAGCGAAAGAAAAAACATCATTAGCTGCTGGTGGAAGACTGTTTTTTAGGACACCTCCAAACGCAAACCACAGTGTTCAGACTTTTCCAGTTCGACGCGATGGCCTTGTTCCATATAGTTCCACCTAATTCTCTATACAGGTGTATCCGCTACTTTCTCTATATAGGTTTAACTGATTATAGATAGATTCGCTCCTCACTCTAGGAAGTAGACAGGCCATATTTGAGACATACTGTGCACTGCTTTTGTACGTATCTAGACTTTAGTAGTAATATTCATTATAACTTTATTGTTATTTTTTATTTTATTTTTATTTTTATCTTATCTATAGATGAAACTGACTCAAATTTAAATCGATTAGACGTTCTGCAACAGACGGATTTGAGTAAGAGGTCGTTGTTATCGGTCGAGCAACACATAAGCAAGTTGGATACGCACGACGTCGACGGTAAAGGGTCGAACAAACATGAACACCTTCAACCCTGTAAGTTATCTGTAACAAGATGGATATTAAGGCGATAATTAGATTTGGGAATATAGATAAACGTATATGTAATATATGATTATTGATGAACTCTCGTTCGATCTCTAAGACCTCCATTGTGGAGCACCAGTGGAAGAGCTGAACGCAAACGATTAAAATTTACATAAAAAGGCTTAGCGATTGTCTAGTAAGGAGCAATAATAAGGCTACGTTATCGCCTTATTGTTAAATTATTGTCCCGCACATTATAAATCGCATTGGAAATTACTGATTTGAAAAAAATCATATCTTTCATGTGTTTTTCAACGTGTTACAGATGAGCTCTTTCCAATGAAAAACCCGAACCCATGGAGACTGCCGTGGTGGACCAACCGAATTCGTACCTAGAAACAGAGAATTAGCTACGAAGTAATGATTTTTTTTTGTTATGACTTTTTTATATGAATACTGTTAAATGCAATGTTTGTGTAGCAATTCTCATTAGATAAACAACTGGTCGCCTTACTCGGTCATGGATACTTCGTGATGTACGATTTCAGTAGATAAAATGTATTAATGAACTAATCGTACGTGTTCTCATTTAGAAGTTCTATATAAAAGGTGTAATTTTATAGGATACTTTATTTATGCTAATCTAAAAGCTTTATTAAATTTAATTAATCAAATTCATATGCCCTATTTAACCCATATTCAGTAGCGAAAGCTAACGTGTACAACTGTGGTGATTGTGTTGCAAGTTTGTCGATGCCCCATCGCCCGATCCTGTCGTAGCTCTCCGGTTCTAGAAGTTCTGAATACCTAATTTAACCAATCGACGCTGATGTTCTTTAGCCGTCTCAATGCCTAATTAGGGTTGACGCAGCCTTTGCAACTTTTCTCCTACAGTTTTCTAGCTCTCCGTTGTTGGTGCGTTGTATGGATTCCGTCGTGCTCCATGTACACTCCTAATCCTGCAGCTCCCCCATTGGGTTGTAATGTACCCCCCAGGGTAATTCACCTGCTAATGTTAAGTTAGCACCCGACAGCTGTATGTTGCTTCGACCTCATATGTTCACCTACTAGGTTTATTCAATCATGTTACTCAGTCAATATATTGTCTCCTTTCCCCTATTTGAACGTCCTTGTAATTTCTAGATTTTAATACGCTTATCTCGTATTCTCATTGCAATGAACCTGCCATACTTTTTGAGCGTTTTGGTAAGCGGTATCATTTTATTCTCAATTGGCAAAAGTACGAGAAATCAATTTTGTGCAAAGAAACTAACGAGGTTGACCCGAGCCCCAGTTGATTGATAAAGAAATGAAAAGTAGCCATCAGGACCATATTAAAAGTTTGAATCTGTTTTTAACTTCGAAACATTAACAAAGGAAAAAAAACGGTACATATAGAAATAGAGCATAAATAGTTCAACTAGTTTAATATGTATACTGTGGCACGTGCGACGCCGCTTAGGAGTTAGAATTTCTAATTTTTAACCACGCCGTTCGGCTTTTATTCTGGCTTCAGAGTTTTATGTTATGTGCTTAGTTATGTGTGCGTGTAGTGCTTGGTTTAAAATATTAAACATAGACGCTTACTTTACAAATAATAATAAAATCAAGGTTTGTGAAGTAAAATGCCGCTGTTGTTGACAACTGGCCACAACCGTGACTGAAACATTTGGGTAGCTATTATCCACAATAAAGACCTTGTAGGCCTTGGCTGTCGAGAAGACCTGACTCAGGTGTAAACATTGTAACACATATATGTGATACCTATGCTAAATTCCGCCTCAAGTTAGGGTTAATATTCAATGTTTGTGTGAATGAGTGTGTCTAACTTAAATCATAGGCAGGCTTACGCTTTTTGCTAGAAATACTCCTATATCTCAATAAATATTTAAAGCTCTTTCAGGCAAAAGGGCTCGAGTCCGTTCTTCGAGTAGCTAAATCTCTTCGGCGCTATCGGCGACCTAACAGAACATCTCGGCTAAACTCTCAATATAAACGGTCCAAAATCAACTAACAGGGCAGTAAACATAGGAAAAACGGGGGTCTCGGAAATAGAGGGTCAGGATCTATTTGATTGTTTGCTCCTACTGTAGAGAGCAGAGAATCTAGATTCACCTGGGTCGGTATCAAAAAGCCATCCAGATCTACTTCTTATTCTAGCTTAAAGAAAATCAATTACCTCTGTTGTTTATTTCTCCTACAAATGGCATTGTAGTACTAAAAGCATTTATTTGCAGATCAGAAATTTGCTTTAAAAACCAACCACATTCATAAGCATACGAGAAGTATTCTTAGTACATCATCGATAAGCAAAGCGGATCGTACCTGTCCAAAATACTGTATCTTATAGACACCCAGCAATCGCGTAGTTGACCTGGACATATAACGACCTTTTATGAAGAAACAAGTCCGGGTTTACGACACATCCGGCGCGGTCCAAAGCGTCCTCTTCAGACCAGTGCATATAATTCCGGCAGAAAGATATTTATTTACCGCAAATCTCTCTCTGTAAAGATCTATTAACGATCGTTCTCGAAGACCAATCTTCAGCTAATTGGCATATGTTTTCGTAAAAACTACGTACATTTTTAACTGATCATCATCATCACCATCACCATCATCGTAGCTAAGGCTTGTTTATCCTTCTCAAAAAACACATGCCTTTCCGATACTGTGTAGTAATGGTCCCCTGTGCTTTGCCGTGCCCATATCTTGTGGTGATATAATGGCTCTGCTCGCCATTATAGCAGCCTAACTGATTGTTGACCGCGTAGATCGACTACTGTTGCTTTTGCTCGATTTTTTTGAAAAAAACGCGTTTTACAGATAACAAAGTCTCAATCAGATCGTTTAAGAGATTTAAGCTGGTCACTGGACGACCCGTTTCATGAAGTCCACCTACCGAATAGACGACTATTCAGATTGTATGCCAATTTTTTTTTTATTTTTATTCAGTTATTTTTGCTTGATACGTAACAGGGGTTGCTGCATTTTGACTCTGCTATCCTAAGATATCAATGCTCAATTTCCTAGAAGCTGGTTACAGGGATGGCGTTGTTGGCTGATATGATGGAACACATCGAAAAGGTCCTAACAACTTAGCTCATATATTTTTGCTAATACTGATATGCGGTAGCCCCACGATACGCAATCGTCAACATGAGCAAATTAAAACATTGTCAGAAGTTACCAGAAGTTACAGAAGTTATCACTGCGTCACGATGCCAATTTACCGCCACACGAAACGAAACCCTTATAATTGCAATGCTTATCGATGGATATCAGAGTAGGTACCTACGCGAAACATTACGCAAAAGTATAAAGGACTGTGTGTAGAAAACATGTGGTGCTTTTTCGATTCATTGTACTTAACTGATCAATATGTGACGATCGGCTCTGTCTACGATGTGGGTGTGCATCGTTTGGAAGCCGACCCTCATTTTGAATCATCATCAGATTGGTCATCGGCAAACCCATTCTACCCTGTTTTCCAACCAGAGCGCGACCATGTTCTTTGTAGATGAGACAACTATGAGCACAGGAGGAAAGGCTCTGATCAAACGATCGGCACCAGCAGCAGCAGACTGATTTCATCTCTCACCGTCGTCATCTTAACGAATTGTATTTCCAACGATGTTCCATTATTACGTTTCATTCAACAATTTATCGTTGTTTCGTAGGGGAGAGTAAATCTGTAGACTCTGTACGTGTGGTCAGTGGAATCGTTAACGACAGTAAGCGCTGCACGAACAATTGCCATGGTGAGCTTTTTTTGCCCCACCATTTGAATTGATTGAAAATCGGATGAATGATATAGATATTTCCAATGAGTGAGGTTTCGTAGGTGTAGAGAAGGCACCGAATACAGGAAACTCGTATGGCCTACTATTTTAGTTAAGTGTGCTAAGCTAGAAACAACGTGGGAAGCTTTGCTCGTCCACCCAAGGCTCGCCGATGTCTACGTAGCTGCAAAAACAAGAGTCGCAGTACCAGCTAAGGAATAACACAGCATAGTTTATAAGCGGAAACGTATTTATAAAGTATACGAAAATACGACGACATTAGCAGGCCAGAGCTGGCAAACATGCTTCGCTATGGACTACTATGACTATTCTTCCGAGTAGCCCGCTATTGGTACACAATAGGGTGGGATATTGATTCTCTAGCTTTGTGTAGCCAGAAAGCCGATAGGGTATTTGTGAGTTTGGTAACCGTGCTGAATATTTTTTTTTATAATAACCTACATTTAATATGCATAAATCTTTAAAGAAGCGTCCTAATTCATGATTGGCAGCTTAGGCGTAATCTAAATGACTAGCAACTGCCAGCAAACGCAGACGGATTTTTTTAATTGAAACCTCTTAGCATCGGCCAACAGTGCTCACAGCGTTACAGGAACATATGTAGGATAAATTGCGGATAGGCAATCCAGTGACATTGGCACTAGTCATAAATAAGAGAGCGGCGCAACAGTGTCCGTCGTATCGGCCTTGGGCCTTGTATGTAGGCTATTTTGGCCTGGGCTAGGTATTAACTGGTCCTAAGCGCGATTCACCACCAGTTGTATTGCAACGATACACAGTAAAGTTTAACTTAAAAGCGATATTTACAATAAATTAATAATTACCGCTAGCTATATTTTATGTTCTTTTACATTGCCTGCCATATAGCGCAATAATAGCTAAGGTGCATCGTAAACCCTGCACAATGGAGACATGTTGAACATAACAGCGAAATGACGATTTGTAACATGGTAAATACGTCTGAGGCTTTAATAAATAGTATGGTTAATCACACACAACGAGCTGACTAGTAGATGGTTGAGATATATATATATATATATATATACATATATATATATATATACAGTAAGCGGTCTAACGGCCATATAAATGCTCAAAACAATCCATCTCTAAAATGATTGCATTATTTGTTGATTTTTATCATCACTAAAACCATCTACGGGTGTTGCTTTCGGCAACGATAAGTCCGAGCTATGTATGAATCGTCAGAACACAGATGTAGTAGTAGAGTGACGAGAAATTTCAGCCCGACTGCAAAATATAACAAGAACCGACACGTATTAATCAGCGGGCGGTCACCGTCATCCGTGGGTCAGTAAACGAAACTATTGCTATAATGTCCACCGCTTCGCTTCATTCATTGTGAGCTTTACCTGTGGTCCACTGTATTCTTCATAGAAACTATAGGTAGAAAAACGGTCAAAGCAGTTAGTTCCGCTAGCAGCACTGTCTTCGATTTTTGTCGTGGTCGAGAAGGTTGGTTTGGTCGTAGTTTTCTCCTCTGTGGCCTATGGTACGTTGCTCTGTAAGATGGCAGATTCTTTTCTCTTGTGGTGCCTGAACCGAACGGCACGTGGGCGCTCTAGTCAAGGCTCGTCCTAAGCTTGTAAGCCCAGCCGCAGGACGCGCAGCCACACACAGTGGTAATTCCAGCATATTCGTCACAAGGCTTTCGAACTCGAAGGCTCAAGTCTACAACATCTCACTGCTTCTCTTTCATGCTTGTAGTCTTGGCGAGGTCTATAGCACAACAGCATTGTAGACGCCGGTTAAACGGCAGTAGTGGCTGGGTTCGACGATTCCAGCGACTACTGAGCTTCGTTGGTGCGCACCAATCGCAATGGCAATCTCGCCAAAGAGATAGTGACATATAGGAAAAGAGTACATGATGTTTGCTTTAACATGATCATGAAAGTGATCGACAGATCCTGACCGACCGATCAAAGATGTGGCTGTTGCTCCTGTTCACTATGGCGTGGTCAATGCTACCGACGACAGCCAATGCGCGCCAGTGTCATGGAAACCCCCTGTGTGTGTGTAACAACGACCTGTCAAAGGATGTAATATGTGATGGTGTACGTTTTGCCAGGATTCCGTATAACCTTGTGGATAACTTTGTGACAACTACGCTGGTGATCACGCACTCGAACATTTCCGAAATATCTGACGACTTTTTCTATCGCAGTAAACTCACAGCCCTCAGCATTCGGGATTCACACTTGAGCCGGATCGGGGTATGTGCATTTTGTGGGACGATCGAATCAACCCTGGTTACATTAGACCTAAGTGGCAATTCACTATACGAATTCCCTACGAGGTCACTTGTGAAGCTGCAGAATCTGAGATGGTTCTCCGCTCGTGACAATCGCATCACGAAGTTGGATTTTGATGACGATAGCGAGGATATTGGTTGGCCGTTATACTTCAACTTAGTAACGCTCTTCCTAAGTGCTAACTATATCAGCCAGATTCCACCGGGAACATTTTCGAAATTCAAACGCTTACAAACGCTCGAACTTAATAACAACGGAATCGCAACTCTGGAGAAGGGCACGTTTCCATCGACGTTAGTAAGCTTACACCTCAATGGGAACCTCTTGCTGAGTATTCCTTACGATGCCCTGGATGGACTAAGAAGTCTTCAATGGTTATACCTACGAGATAATCGCATCGCAAGACTGCCTCCATCTCCACCACTGCCATTCAAATCGCTGATTGATTTGGATTTAGGGGAGAACCTTATACGTAGCATATCGGAACCCATTGGAAACGGGGTTAAGATTCACAATCTAGAACTGGATGGCAATCACCTGCATAAAGTAGAACCAAATTTCTTTCATTATTTTGACGACGTATCGCTTACGCTTAGAGGAAATATACTGACACAACTAGATAAGGCCGTATTCAATCAGTACAAGCCGCGAAAGCTTGATTTGAGCTTTAACAGCTTCAAAACGGTGCCAGTAGAAGCTCTAGAAGTCAGCGGGGTGAAATCTCTTAACATGACCCGCAATGCGCTGACGTCATTTGACGCGAGACTGTGCTCGCTGAGCAAATTGTATCTGTCGCAGAACCTACTAACAGTGATACCAAATCTGCCTTGCTCAACCACACTTAAAATACTTGACGTTTCGAAAAATCGTATTCGTATGGTTGCCGAGGGATCATTGCCCTTCGGTCATTTGCAGGTTCTTAATCTCGCGGACAACAGTATCTCTTCTGTTCCAGTGAACGTTTTCAGTAAGCTCTCCAATCTGCTCGAACTAAACTTGGCTCATAACCGTCTTGTGAAGCTCCCAGCAGAGGTTATCCGTCCCCTTAAATCACTGGAAGTGCTCAATCTGATGCACAATGCGCTGGAAGGATATTTCAACGCAAATCAATTTCTCTCATTGAAACGACTTGACCTCCGGCTAAATTATAAACTCAAAGATGAGATCCCTATAGGTGGAAATATCACTCACTTAGATTACAGTTTCACAGGTATTCAGATTGATCACCTTCTGCCTGTGGCCAGACGCCTAAGCCGATTCTCGTATCAGCTGCTGCCAAGCGATACGCTCAGATCTCGATTCGCGCAAAACTTTCCAGACCTTCTTAGCATTGATCTCCGTTATTCTTCGGTGTCAACGATACATACAAATGCGTTTTATCATTTGGAAGCGCTGGAAGAGATTCTGATGAGTCATTCCCGAATCGAAACACTCTCCAAGCGCGCTTTCAACCGGTTGCCCGCACTGCAGCTGCTTGACATGTCCCACAATAGACTGAAAAAACTGAATCTCAACTGGTTTTGTCAGATGAGCGACTTCAACGTGGTACCCTCAACCTTGGATCTGTCCTACAATTATATTACTGCACTGAACGCTCAAGATGATCACCTCGAGTACGAATGCCAAAATTTCATCACTATAATGAAGTTATCGCATAATCGCATTTCGACGATTGATTTTAAAGCGTTTTTAACAGTTAAAAGTACCCTGCTCGAACTGGACCTAAGTTACAATGAGTTGGACGATCAGCAGCTGAAGAAGTTCATTGATTTAAAGAAAATCTCTAAACTTAATATTAGCTACAACCGAATCCCTGTATTACCACGAAGAGCTATGAGCGGTCTATTCCACCTTCAGGAACTAGATCTGCGGTTCAACCAAATTAAGCAAATAACTCCTTCGGCACTTAGCAGTATGCCTAATTTACGTTTCTTGGATCTTAGCGTCAACTTTATTAACTTCATTCCTCAAGATGCCTTTAACGGTACAGGCATTGAGGTGCTGAGGCTTGATATGAATTATCTGCCTGCCTTAACAAGTTCCGCGTTTCGTGCCATCAGCGGTAAGTACGAAACTGATTGTTCGAGTAGCGTTTTAATAGCTTATTAGGTTTATGTAAAGTCTGTTCGCTGAACCCAGGCCACTGTACAATAGAAGGTCGTAAAAGTCTGCAAAATTGTCTAACGGCACCTTGGTCACAATATTTACACCCTGTACGTCGTTAATTTTCTCTATTCCATGTTTAAATAGTATTCACGTCGGGTTTCATATGAAGTCGATGGTTTACAATTTTGAAATTGTCTTCGTTTATATAAAAAAAAAAATGGTGGGATTAGGTATTGGATACAATACATTGACAGAACATAAAACATCTTTTTTTTTTTTTTTTTTTTTTACTGCAATCTAATAGTTGCAGCAGCTTGGATATTGGAGCTAGCTTTTACAAGTGTGTCGCCTTTTAGGAATGGCTTGCAATTAGATTAGGCCGTTGTATGCAAAACAAACAGTGGCCTCAAATCAGTCCCCGAAAGACCTTCTACCAATGACCCACCGCTGCCAAAATGGTTAACGAAACAAACAAATTGTAAGTAACTCTATTTAGCAAGTATCAGAGTCTGCACAAAACATAGACGTGTCTTTAACAGTACCTTGGTCTCAATGAACTTAACATTTCTGATGTTTTTTTTTTTTATACGATTATTAGCTGGAGCACTGATAAGGAAAGCAGAATTGCCATACAAGTTATTTCTTGTAGAATATCATCTGGAACGGAGCGGTTAATTTCTTTCGTAGCGGCCGGGTCAGAAGCGGCTCGATGAACGCTCTGACTGATGTCGAACACGGCGGTCGCCTCGTATTGTAACAGTTAATGGGCCAAGCACCGATGTTTGTTGTTCAATTTACGTTGTCTCTCTTGAGCAATAGTAACTACTGCAAGGCTCAAACAAAAGGTAGCTACTTCAAATGTAGTATTAAAAAGCAGACATCTTTTCCTAACGCTTAAAGCTTGAGTAGTTATCAGGCAGGTCTGCACCTGCTGGCCTCCGTTACTTCCTTGACCTGTGAACGTGCTTTCGGTTATCAAAATATATAATCTGATGCATAAAGTCAGTCTTTAGGAGGAACGAAGGGCTTCAGCAGTAGGATAGAAATCTGTGCAATGCGGTGTACACAGCTAAATATTTGGGATACCACAAAGGATATATACAATAGAGTGAGAAATAGTAACTTCATTCCGATTCCAAACATTGAAATTAGTATATGAAAGGGGCTATAGCTATCAGCGAACGACCTTTGACTATGGAGAGTTTATATACAGGTGAGGATTAGGTAATTAAATATCGATTTGGCTAGTTTGGGGTGTAACTAATAAGCGCCGCATAGGTCTCGTTATCGAATAAATCGGATGTAATTTGACTTCAGTGTCCTCAGGCACATTATGCGTGATCTGTTCTATAATATTAATGAGTTTTGGTCATACCAGATGCTCTGCCTAAGGACGAAAGTCTGTCCTAGATTTTGATTTTTATTAGGGGGAATCTTTAGGATACCGAAAATACTCGTATCGATATATCAAACATCGATTTACGCAACGGTGCGCTTAATTGTGTAGCTGGTAATCTCGCAACGACCCTCAGCTACAGCAGAATATCATAAAACCATACGCACCTCGTAAAAGGCTCGATTCGTAATTGAAAAGTGGTCTATTTGAGACGCGATTGTTTCGTTTGTTATTTAGGAGCGACTAACGCCTACAAAATCGTAGATCCATAGTTTTGTTCTGTTTCTTTTTCTACGGATACATGGGTCCGTTTGGAGCTATTTTCACCACAAGTACTACGAGAGATTTACGATTGCTACAGGGAGGTGGCCTAGGTGTAAAACGGGATTCCAAACTAGTTTTCTTCGAGCAGTGCACAGACGATTTGGGCAAACAATATAGTAAAAATCAAAATGATAAGGCGAACGACCTTTCTACATGTAACAGTACAGGGCAGAATCGTCGCACCCGTACGTTGAACGAGTGCGCGTGGAAATTATGCTAATATTTCAATAAAGAAATCTGGAAATGCAGGACTTACTCAGCTGGAAAGTATTTCGAAGCGTAAACGGCAACGAAGGGGGATGTATAAGCGCACCTCATCACCATATAACCACACAGCGTTTGTTTTGTTCAGCGACCATTTGAAATTTAGAATTGTTAAGTCATCTATTTTTTGTATCTGTTTCAACATGCGCGTCTCTCCCTACATCGGGGTTGAACAGCTTCTTTGACATCTCTATCACTCTCGTACAATGGCGATATGCACGCGTTGACCACCGGTGAATTCAGCTACCTAACGGAACTGCTACATCTCGATATCTCGAATTGCGGTATCAAAAGTGTAACCCCGGGAGCTTTCCGAGGACTTGGTCTTCTGATTTCGCTCAATATAGCTAATAATTGGCTTAGCTATCTCGAGGCCGAAACTCTACAATTGTTGCCACTTCTACAGGTATAACATCAGTGCACCCTCTCGATTAGACACGAACTAATTCAGAAGGACGTTAGAAAGACGAATAGCAGCCTTCTAAATGACTATTTCAAAGTATAAAAAACAAGGTAAATGTCAATAATGTCCGTTAATCTTAATTCTACTCTCTAGGAAATGTGTGATGTTTTTGTTACTACCATTTATCGTTTCTACTAGTCAGGAAGCTATTGCAGGATACTGCAGACAGCACAAATGAGGATATATTTTAAATGTAACAGGTTTGTAACTGACTGAACATGCCTACCCAGAGTATCAAAAATAAAACAATCAATTACAATATTGTATGTAGTAAAATATAAAAGGTATGACTTTCTATTTTCGAAGCATTTTTTTTTTTACTATCATTTTATAGTTCGTCGAACTGTAGGCATTAAACACCGCTCCGCAATGGTATAATCGAACCTTTTTGGCCTTAGTGTAACTATGAAGCATAATATCATAACAAACCTAGGAACGAATCCCTTGACTCACTAACCTTGTCTGGTGATTGAGCAAATATTAACTTAATATGCGTCCATTCACTGTTCCTTTTACAATTCTATTTTATTTTTCAACACATATTAATTCATCTATATTTTTGTTAGAGATAAAAAATAGTATCTCAGATTAGTTTCTAATATTCGTTGTTTAATTAACTTAACCGTAGCACTTGGATTTGCGGAACTGCTCACTGAAGACAATGCCTTCTCTTCGTGTACCCGAGCTTCGTACTTTGTCACTCTCCGCCAATAAACTGGACATTCTCCGGGATGAAGTTCTTACGACAGCGCGCAAAATTCAGAGGCTGGACTTGTCCCTTAACCGATTCTCAGAAATTCCTCAAAAGCTCTGGAAAAGCCTTCCGGAACTAAGGACACTGAACTTAGCTTACAATCCTGTGCAGGCCTTAAAAGAACAGAGCTTCGCTGATCTTCCGCTTCTTGAGGAACTCGATATCACCGGCCTTTCAAGTCTAAAGGACTTCGATATCCGCGCGCTAGCGAATAATATGTACGTGGCGCAAAATCATATGTAGTCCATAAATAAACTCTCCTTGTAATGATCAGAACTGTTATTAACTTGTAGTTACAAGCATGTGGCCTTTTGAAATTCCTGAACCTTGTATTGCTAACGATTTTGTTAAATTCATTTTCACCCTGGTAGCTTTCTGCATGAATCTCTACTCAAATCTTGATAAATAACGTAATATACTTTTTTTTTTTCTAAAATTATTGGAAGTTACGCATTAGTCTTTAAATTTTGTCTTCTTAGCCGACTGAGAAAATTGGCCACGTCAACGTACACTGGCGTGGGAGCATTTCGACTCGAGGCGGTATTATCGAAGATGCCCTCTTTGCATGAGCTACATGTCTTCGTCGAAGTAAATGCCTTATCCTATCAGATACAGTGGGGATTCGGCCATAAACTGCGTGTGCTCAAATTGCGAGGGCCGCTCTGGGAACAGATGGCCAGTGACGCCCTACAGGGCCTAGAAGGACTTGAATTAACAAACAAAAAGGTAACTTTCGATCACGCGTGTCTAATAAAAAAGTATTCTATATTCGCTACGTACTATTGATACCATGACTACGATTATTATTAGTGACATACGTTTCGGAACCAAGAGATTTTTGCTTTTCGGCTTGTATGCGAGCAGTTTACTTCAGAATCTATTTTATCTCTTACAATTTATTAAGATTTGAATTTATATAATTTTATCTTTTTAATATAATAAGATTGCTCGTTTTTACTATATTGTTTTTTTCGCCAAGCCAAGCTGACGTAAAGGTCCGACTTCTCGTCAAATGTACGATTACATATATATACTTGAATCGCTTTAGGTGTTATTATTTCAGTTCATCAAACGCTTGGACTTTAAAAAATACTCATATCTTAGAGCGTACTGAACTTACCATCGTCGATTTCAACCGCTGCAAGCAAAGTTGATTTAGTCCCTGTTGGTGTTTGTTAGATATAAGCGTAAAGATCTTTACGCGTTCTCCAGCAAAGCTGTCGTTCGTCTCATTTGACAGGATTCAGTTTTATCCTCATCCGTCATTGACGACGAGTCCGAAGATGATCGAAGAATATGAATTTAAAAATTCTTAAGGTAACTCTTTAGTGTAAACTTTAAAGTTAGTCGAAATACTTTCAGGAGTTGCACGTCAGCATCACTGAAACAGCTCTACGAGAGCTGAATATTGGCATCATCCGGAAGCTTGCTCAACAGCCCAGGAGAATCAACCTTGATCTACGTGGAAATCAGATTAAGCAATTTTTCGCTGAGAATAAAGATGACGCGTTAAACATCACGGAAATTTTTCCACGGGCTACCTTAGGTCAGTACCAACTAGGTCCTATTATGTGTCCAACTAGTACCAACCAACAATTAGTTACCAATATGTGTTCGATTCTTCAGGTAGGCAGGTTAAAGGTAGCGCAGCCGATGCACTTTCAAAGACGTACATAATAACTGGAGCTATGAGCACTTTTTAATAATGCCTCAGTTCAACGTTACACACTTCAAACTGCTTAATACGTAATATATTGGCCTTCATGATATTATCTATATTAGCTTATCGAGTCTTTTTAATAGAATTTATTAGGACATGCACTGTGGCTCTCCTTGTCATATTGTCGTATTGATATCCAGCTAAAATCTAGGCCGAAAAGAAAGGCTACTTCAACATAAAACATGCATAGATGCTACTCCTTTAAGAAGATCCATAATTTTCTCGTCCCAGAATTGCGCTCTCGCCACCATCGGACTATGCTCCGGTCAGAAAGGATCAACGGACCGCCTGTTTGGGTATGGAGCCTAATCACAGCTGCCTTAATATTGCTCCTAACAGAACAAAACTACTCGAAACACTAGAACTAGGCATCGTTCAAGAAAGCACTAGAATGGTTAGGTTATAATAGTGATGAAGCAGGAGAAAAGGACCCTGGACCTGTACAGAGACAGTAAATTATAGCGTAATCTTTGGTGATTTTGTTATAGTGAAGATTTAAGAAATCGAGTAACCGTCCAAAGTAAAAATACACAACAAGGAAATTAATCAAAGTATTTAAATTGTCGAACAGTATTTTAGTCGATCACACGTTATGAAGAGTCGAATGATCATTGTTCAAAACAACCTATTCAACTAAGGCCGTAAAAAGCTTAGTCTTCACACAATGAAAATGTTTTCTAGCTAGGAATACTGATAGCCATGGTGTGGATATAGGCGACTCGCGTATTATTGGAAAACTAAAGCCATGGACGCGAATTTTTCCACTCTCGTTTTCGTCGGTCCATTGCCTCGATAGTCACATCGGAATGGGTCCAGAGCGTTAATCGCGCCTGTAAGAAAAACACCTATTGTATTCTACAAGACACATCGTTTCGACCTGTAGCTATCGATTGGGACGGACGAAACACGAACCCAAACCAAAGCAACCAATTAACCCGACTCGAAAGTATGGTCGTGTAGAGCCTATGATGGCAATATGCCCCTGGCTGAGAGGTGCTTGCAAGGGTTTAGCTAACTTAGCTATTATTGGTCACATTTGTTCGGCGCCATCTTTTATATACTGCGCCTTAGCTGTCTGGTAACTATTCGATATTGCTTGTTGTATATAGTGAGTGAAGACTAAAGAGATAAGCTGCTACGAAATCTCGTAGCTGCTTTTGCCAGCAGCAGGTTTGCGATGCTAATCAGTGAGATATAATCTCCCCCTGGTAGAATTCTCAACAGTGGCCGAACGGAAATTAATAAACTGCTTATAAAACATCACATATGGAAATATTTACATTGTGCTATTTGTATTCTAGCTGCGTTAGTACAATACTGTACTATGAAAACGATGTATCTGACGTTGCCTTCATTATTACTTCGACGATAAGAAAAGTATAGCTCGTATGAAGTGACTGAATAGAAGCTAATAGCCATAAGGCACATTCTCACGAAACAAATGTCGGTTGATTACGAATGAATGTGACCCAGTCACCTCAATAACAGTCTTATTGCCTGAAGTTCGGTCCAGGTATTAGAAAAGATGCGTTTAGACCAAGATAAACCTTACATGAATTCATTGGACGCTCACGGCAGGTAGTGAGGTCGTTTCCGCAAAAGATCGGTGTCGAAGGTTCGCTTTCAAACAGTGTTGAAGGACAGAGAAAATTGCTACTCTACGAACAATTCTTCACAGGTAGATATGAAAGGATTTCGTGAGATTTAAAACCGGTTGACTTAGCAAAAAATTGTCCATAGTATTGAAACGGTAAACGACTCGATCAAGCCGAGATGAAAAATTGACAAAGAAAGAAGGCAAATGTAACAGACAAACAAAAGGTGCTGTTTTTTTTTTTTTTTTTTTTTTTTTTACAGTTTTGGATATCGCGTGGCCTTGGCAATCCGAAAAATTTTAGACCGTTAATAGAAAATTTATTTGCGCCCGGTTCATAAGCCACACTTTTACCGCGCCACTGGCTTACAGCGACTCAGACCTATACTTCTTGAATGGCAAGGGATTCTGAACAAGAAGCGCATCTGAAACGGCAAAAGCAAGCCACAAAGTGTTGAAGAGATAATTATAGTCGGACAATACAGTTTTTATCTAAAACCAACGCCGTTCAGAGCTATATATATATATATAACGAAAAGACGATTTCTTACCGATAAACTTAGCAATTAATTCAAGTTGATCTTCATTACGGCCTATGTTAAATCCCGAGGCAAAAGAAGATTCGTGGAAAATATCAGTCTTTATAAATAACGAACAAAACATTCATCGAAATTGCCAAACCTCATTCATAGTTCAGTGCGCTATACTCGTACTTTATATATACCTATATGCATAGCGGATTGCCAATACTGACTTATAATGAAACTATATTACAGAAAGTACCTAGCTCTAATTAATAAGTTCCGCATGACTTTTTTCAGGCGCCCTTTATCTAGACGTGTTATCAGACTGTAACTGTCAGCATGTTCGATGGGTTACGTCATGGCGTGCCCGAGCCCCGACGTTAGTGCCCACGTTTTGCCAGAGATACTTATCGTCTCCACCATCGATTGCCGACATTGCGTATGTCAAGCCTATGACATATAGTCACTATATTAGTTAATATAGTCATATAAATCACAGTCTATAATTTGACAAACTTACTAATCACTCCTGCTTTGCGCACATCCTTACGTTCGGCTAACTAAGGATTCGAATCTGCCTTCTACGTATATTGGCGCGCATGACGTTATGACATAATCAAGATAGCCTAACGCTTTGATCATCTCTCAGGTGTTCGCCACTGGACGATCCCACGGTTGACGATAAGCAGTCGAAAGCCACACGGAACTCAGCAGCTCCACAAATCACGCTACTTGACGCTACCTGGACTGGCGTCATATGTTTTTGTACATACTTGTTGAAGCTGTTTTTCTAGCGGTATTCGTTAAATGTGATCGATAAACTATGATTCTTCATTGTTCATCTACAACTGAATCTTACCATAGATAGAACGCGCTAGAAAGTACACCAATTGTCCAAGATATTACTATTATATCAAGATATAAGAAAAGTATTTTAGACTAAATCAAAACTCTTAATGCTTCAGTGCATCTTCAATAAACCTCCTGCGTAACAAGCGTAAACACATGTAGAAACATGCTGGCAGTAGCTTTCAGGTTCCTGCTGGAACAATCGAGTGCTAGTTTCAGAGTGGACTTCTTCACGATGGCTCTATCCCGCATACGTTTGAGTGTTATCGACTCTATATATATTTTTAGAGGATTCTATGTTCTGGGGTCGATCGTCGAGTTATCTACGCTATGTACCGTAGCTAGGCATAATACTATTCCCTTCGTTCGTGATGAAATGGTTTACTACCTGAACAAGCTTTGAGCTTGGACACCTCATTTTTAACCTAATACGAAGTAAAATGCAATAGTTTTCACTAGATTGTCCGAGCTGCCTTACGAACGCCTCATATTGGACGGCAGTGGCTGACGTATGCCCTGCTGCGCGGGGGAAAACCAAGCTCACCTTTAAGTGCGTCACAATTTTAAGCTGCGTGAAACGTATCACAATGCAATCTTGAGAGCGTACGTCGAATGATCGCCAGGGGGATGTCATCTTAGCGCTACGATCATCTGAAAAACAACCGCTTTAACCAGAAGCACTGTGTCATGGCGAAGATATTTGAATTATAATGGAGCTCGCTGAGAGACGATGACGTTCAGGACACCGACAGCTACGCTACAACTTACTATTCGATCTGTGAGCCAGGCTGTCAAATTTCAACTGCAGCAAAGAGTCGTGGGACATGGACTAAAATGCGACATAAACATCTCACTGCTCTGATTATTTCCTATAAACCAATCGGGCTGTTTTGATATAATGGAGCGGGTAGCTGATTAAGTCGAATATGAAATTTGCTTATTCTCTACGGGATAACAGTGTACGTTATAGTGTAAAACGCGTAGATGTTTGCATGTATCTTCGCTGCTAGTATCTTTCTGCTAGCATAACTTTGTTAGTAACTCACGCGTAAAATCCCGCCCAACATCGTGGGATTTTTCTAGGCGGTCCACTCGACGATTAATTCCCCGTACATTCGTTCCCGCATCTTCCAAAAACGGAACCGCATTTACCTTATGTACGCAACTGCGATGAGGTAGTTACTTCGTATCCATCTACCAACATCACCTCAGTGATGGAGACAAGGAAAAATGAATGAAAAGATGCATTCTTTCAGCTAATTTTTGCATAGAGTTGTGTGAAAATGGCTTATTTTTGGCGATGGGCTACGCATTTTTCGTACTCAGCTAACTGATTAACAGTAACACCGTTCAGGGAGCTCGCGTATTTGGTTTAGCTGCATATTTTAATAGTACTGTTGTTTACTATATACTTTCGACCCTTTTTGATACAAATCGACAAGGTAATCGGTGCCAGTTAGTCGACGGACGTCAATTGACTGCAATTCCGTGAGAAAGGGATTTTGGTAGGACAGCTTTTTATGGTTTGCCACAGCCACATTCTTATTGTTCCTGACGGTAGGTTTTCAAGTTTCGATGTCAGCTTCGACAGCGGGTCATGGCCTTGTACAACACATTGCGGAGCACATATTCATGAACATAATGAAATCTCGGCAAAGCTATATGACAAAAAATTTCGATGCTGAAATTCAGTTTAGCGCCACAAGGCTTCATTACTTATCTACCTGTTAGGCTTGCTCGAGGCTAAACAAAGGCATTAACGGAGGACGGACCTCTTGCCAAATGGGGTCTTTGACCTGACTAGAAAGAAAAGAGTCAGAAAGAGAGGTGTCTAGGTTATCAGTGACCCTTTCGGTTTGCCGAGCAAACTATCTATAAGTAGGAATGACAATAATATAACTCTGGTGATTACGTTTTAGCGTTTACAGATAGGCATCTGTTATGCATATGTATTGGATAAATGTAGGACTGAATCAGGACGCGCGGGTTGGTAAATTTGGTCAAATTCCTGATCAGCTGTTTCTCCAGTAGCCTAGCGTCACCTATAAGCAGAACGGGCGTCTTCTTCATAGTTAAATAATAATAAGAATAATTATCACTGTTAGATGAATAGTCTTTAGAAATCGATGCATACGAAACTCATCTGACCTATACATATATATGTGTAATACTGTACATGTAATACATATATTTTACTTTAGCGCAGAAATTTTATTGAATACAGAATCAATCACAGTAAAACGATGTTTGAGGTTTCCTCGTGTTACTAATATTGGCTTATCATTTGTTTGTCTTCGAAAATTTTACTGAAACCTTTCCTCTGGGAGCATATTTATGAAGACGTATGCACAATAATTCTATGGGCTGCACACTTCACACAACATAATAAAAACTAAATGTAGCCTATTGGTTAATAAATACATCTGTAATGACTGTGTGCTTCTATAGTTTAATTTATAAGAACAGGTAAATGAAAGAATCTTCTTAAAAACCGGTATAATGGGTATAACCTACCGTTGGCTACATTACATTGTTCTTTTTTTTTGTATAGTATAATAATTATTTCCATTAATCGAATCACGGACAAAAATCATATGGATTTTAGCAATAGGTTTATAAGCCGCATGTCTGAATCTGCCAAAAGACCTTTTCGGAGATCTTCTTCACAAACAAGTATACAGCTACATATCCGGGTTAGCGACCTTAACCTGAAGAACTGGATTGTTAGGGGTCTATTTCTAAGGAAGAGATGTCTCCTATGAGAGGAAAAAATATGACCATTTGTCAGAGAAACACATGCGGATTGTGTGACTGCGAGGCTGACCGCTCACATTTTATGCCTTTCCTAGTGGCAGCTAAAGGTCTCGAAGGCGGTAAGGTGTGAGACACTTTAACTTAATAAACATAGCTTACATAAGCCATAACCATGTTATAATAGAAAAATGGGGCTGTTAGATTCTTGTCACTATAAAGTGCTTAGTGCATACCAGCAAGACAATTGCCCGAGGGGCTCAGTCGTATCGATCGTATGAGGCAACGTTAACTATAAGTTTGAGTGATTTTAAGTTGAGCCAAACTAGCTTATATTAATCGTTGATGACGCGAGAACTGCTCAGCTTGATAGCACGATATTGACGCTTCCGCCTGTAGCAAACAGCATCGCTGCAGTACAAAATCCATGCCAGAAATTTGTGTCATCCAGCAAGTACACTGCACCTTTTTTCTAATTTTTGTAAGAATTCACTTGGGTTAATAACCCAATTAGTTTCTTAAGCTAGTTGGGCTGGGCTAATCAATAGAAATTGTACTGGATACTGTACAAGTCATTTCATCATAGAGTCCATTAAAGTAACATTTATCACAGACCAAAATACACGGCCGACTTAAGGTAAAAGAGAACCGTATAGATAGAAGTTCTGACACAAGTTCAGCTCATAGAATGTATGCAAGATATTTGGTCACCAATAGCCTTTTTAAAAATCAAAAACCTTAGCTCATACTAGATAGAAATTAGATCATTTCTACAACTGTAGATAGCATCCTACATAATCGTACTAGGCACCTAGCGGTGGCGGTGGCGGTGGCGGTGACATTTGCGTATCTCTTTAATCAATTAATATAGTTGAGTGCCCTACAGCCATTAAAGCTTTGCATCGTTCTTGTTGTTTCTGTGCTAGTCTTCCCTGGCGTCAAACCGAATTTATATTGCCACGCGTTCAATGATCGAATATATAACAATGAGTATTTTTGCCAAACAAAAACGAACTCTAAACTTTAGAACTGTATACGATTGTAAATAGCAAATCTGCCAGTTAGCTTTCATTTTTCAGATAATAACTTGATACTTATTCTTGACTCGAATTATCTTGTAGCAAGATCACAGAATTAGACGGCAAATACATCGATACCCCAGCGATTAGCTAGCTATAATTCGGATACTTAGAAGCTACTTAGATTTATGAGAAAATCCTTTGAGGAGGGGCCGTTTGTAGCTTTAATCAAAGATAACTAATCGTTGTATGAAAGTGGAGTAATTGTGGACGCCGTAGTGGAAAAGGGAACTTTGGAGATCGTAAGCTTACGTGACAACAGAAACGCTCATAACGCAACAAAATCTCGTACAAAGAGGGGCGACAAGATACATGGGTGTCTGTTTAGCCAATAGTGTTAAATATATCGTTTAAGGAACCTTACTCAACAGTGGATTTGTATTGTTTTTAATAACAAAAAATGAACGCTTTCCAGTCTTCATGACCGGCTTATCTATCTAGGTTATATGAAATTAAAACTTTGTTGTATCTCAGCAATTATCAATAAAAGGTGATTTTGGGAATATGTACCATCAGCAGTATTCCCAACATAGATACCATAGTAGGACCTCGCCCGAATGCGGCATACTGTATCTGACGTAAGCGCTTGCCTTTCGGCTAGACCGTTTATTAATACTGAGAGTTCAGTTTCAATGAGATTAACATTTTCAAGATAATTGTCAAACTTGCCGCCCGTATGATGTACTTTATCCTAGGAAGCAGGACTGACACCTACTTTTAATCTATTTTAGTTTTATTACTTCTATTATCAATCATGTAAGTTCAACGTACAACTGCTGCAACAATTTGCTGAACAGGATCAAGAGGACTCGGTACCGTAAACGATACGAATTAAAAACTACAAAAAAACAAACGTAACAACAAATGACAAAAGAAAATTAATATTTTTTTGCTTAAACCTACATTACCAGACAGAACGCGCTGACTTTGATAACCAGTGCTAGCTATAAATACTACAGTGCGGTTTGGTAAACCGCGCCGTTAAACGCCGCTAATTAGCAGTACGTAAGCTGAACGGACCAATACTTAAAAATCAACTCTAACAATGTTCAAGTCAACAACTGCCTCTTTTATAAATTAGTAATGCCAGATACCGATACAGGTTGCCGATAAAAACTTCTATTTTATTCCGCATTTACTGGAATATCTGTCGAATACTATTTATCCGAATGCGGGTTTCATATTGTTGTCCTAAAATTATTGCCAGAGTCGCACAAGATTATTTGCGCACATAGAATCATGTACATAAAATAGAATTAGCAAGTGGGGAAAAAAAAGGTGTCGAAAAATAATGCCCTTGGTAGGGCTGCTCGACGGTTTCTCCAAGAGGCTATTAAAAAGCGTCATCATGTATCTCCTTGCCAGGTCAGTCACCTGCTTTTTCGAAGGCCTATATAGCTTTTTTTATTATTCACATGACGGCTTCTCCGAGACATGGGATCTTAGATTTATACATATGGTTAGATTCACTAAGTTAAATAGGCCAAAGTAAGGAATGCACCTATCAATATCTGTGATCCTTATTGTGGAACACGCGACACCTACTCGACATGTTGCGCATCTTTCTGCACAATTTTTCCGTCAGAACTGGTGCTCTCATATTCGATCAGTGCATAGTGTATGCTACTGTATTTTAGCGGGTACGTGTCTACCTGTTATTTGTGTCGAATTCGCTAAAGGTTTGATTCGGCAATGATCTATGCCGTCAGGGCTAGAATAGACGGAGCAGTAGAGATGCAAAATTCGTACTGAACTGTGAGAGTGAAACGAAGTTTCCCGGAACGACCTCGGTCGGAACGCGGTGGTCATTTGGGCGAGGCTGAGAACTCGCTCAGCGTCATTTGGTCTTGTGTGAATCCGACCCAGCAAACGTTTCAGGATGTCATACGAAAGTAACACGGAGTCGAATGGAGACAAATCGTTGGCAAGTCAAGGATACAGGAAGATTAAGAGGAAGACGGTGTACGAGGAACTGGTCCAGAGCGAACCTAGGTAAGGGCCGATGTTCTTGATTTTTGTTTTGTTGACTTTGTAGTCTGCGTGCAATTGTTCGACCGCGTGTTGTAAGGAAGATGGTATCACTGTTAATAGATATATGTGTACCTTTGTGGCTCGCTAGGTTGATGACATCAGTACAATGCTTGCTCGAAAGCTATGTGCGGACTGAACGGAAAATCCGTAAAACAGATTGTCCCCGGACGCATCACACCATGGAACAGACATGTCGAACAGCATTCGAAATACTCTCACGCATTAAAGCGTGCCGCCTTGGCGCTGATGATATCCGTGAGAACCTTGAGAACCTTGCCTGCTTGTACGACTATCTCGCCAAAGCCACTCCTGGACCAGCTTGTGTAAGAAAATAAGCTTTCACTTAACGTAATTGTTTAGGTCAATTCTGACGCTTTGTTACGGGGTATAGAGGGGTACCTAAGCATAACGATGGTTTGATACAGCGTTGCAGATGCCTGTCTGTCGGTGTAGTTTTGGTCATGACATATCGAGTTTGAATGTATTATAGCTAGGGATAAACTAACATGTATGGCGGTATGTACTGTTAAGTTCCTGAGGGAACCGACTTGGCCTGACAGGGCAGGATTTCCTTTAGAGAGAGAGAGAGAGAGAGAGAGAGACGACAAATACAAGACGGTAATGAATAAAACGAATTCAATATTCTCATCTTAAGACAGCGTCAACCAACGTAGTCATTGGAGTAAGATTTAGACTGTCTATATAAAAAGTGAGCTGATCGTCAGAGTCGAACGCTTCTTATTTAATGTCTCGAACATGCTGCCATATTTTAAATAAAGCTGAATAATAGGCCTTGAACTAATGCCTAGTATTGTACTTTTCTTCTAAACACCTTTTATTTGTAGTTCGTACAGTTCGGTCGAAATTGTTCCGCTGGTGACGAAAATAAGCTTCCTCGCGCTTTCTCTTCTTATGGTCTAACAGAACCAATGTCAACGAATACGAAACGTCCGTCCTATTTCCTCATCTGACAAGTTCGGTGTAAATTGCTTAAAAGCAATTTATTAGTGCCTCAGCCATTGTTCGAAAACGCTTAGCTCCACAGCGGTCCTGGATGGATCAATTAAATTCTCCAAAATTCTTACTTATCAGTAAAATGTAATTGACTTTATTTTAGAACCTTGCGCATAGAATTCGGCGACTGATCCTTGTTCTCGAATTGGTGGCCGGCAAAATGGAACAGGCCTACCATATGCCAGAAACAAACTGGACAGCTGTGCGAAAACATTTTGAAAGAGAGGCAGCTATGCTTGAAAATTATGAGGAGAAATTAGTGGTGCCTGAAATGAACATGATTCGAGGCGACCGACTGTTGGGCGCCGGAGGATTTGGTGTCTGTTACAAAGCAACGTTTGCCAACGTCATACCGTGTACGGTAAAGTATATCAAAAAGGAAATGTTCGGCCAAGTGCGGTTTGCTTGTGTCGACAAGGTGGTCGCATCAATGACCAATCACCCTCTAGTTGTAAAATACTTTGCATGTTTCGCGGCGGAGAAAGGTTACATCACCGTTATGGAATATATTCGGGGTGTGGATCTCGAACGAGTGACAAAAACCACCAAGGGTAAAGGCCTGCCTATGGCCGTGTTGAGGCCGATCTTGGCTCAGCTTGGCATAGCAACACAGTACCTTCATTACAAAGGTTTCATACATCGCGACATTAAGGTTCGTATGAATTTGTTGTTGTAAACTAGCTATTAGTTCTGCCGAGGCCGGACTGCTCGCTTGTAACCCTTCGAGTTGAACGCAGGTACAGCACACGTGTACAAAGCCGTTCTGCTGGTGTTCGCTAATGTCAACTTTGTGGTATATATTCACATCGCTTACTGAATACAAACCTCCCATTAATAGCCATATACATTCAACGCTTGAGATGAAACCTTTTTCAGGTAGGTAATAGGTATCTAGACCTAAAGTTGCTAATGATGTCAACCTTTCCGGTTAGCCGTCAAATCTTCTCATCACGGCAGATTGCCAGTTGAAGATGATCGATTTCGACACGGTGAAAATTTGCATTGGATTATTCCCCGAACGAAAACTGCGCACCTTTTTCCGTCGCACATTCATTGAATTCAACGATAAAGAATCCGCTGGTACGCTTAACTACTTCCCGCCAGAGTTCTTCAAAATGGTGCCATACGGGCGAGCCTGTGACTGGTAAGCACCGCTTTTAACAACCTTATAGAACTCGCAACATACATAGAGCTACGTATAGTAACTTTGACCTCCGCATATTGCATGTAGCTACTGTACAATGCGCGCTTAGTATCGACTATCGCTGCAAGGGCAAAGTTTGATTAGATCGCTCTCAGTATAAGGTCAGCAGATGAAGATCTTTCGTGTAGCTTAGCGATTTTTACTGTGAAAACGCAGAGTAGTAGCTGAAAAGGAATTGCACAGGTTGCTTTGATGGATTAACTGAACAGTGAAATCTATCGTCAGGTGGGCTGTGGGCGTCAGTGCTTACCAAATGGCCTTCGGTCGTATGCCTTTCCGAGGCAGCGATGACAAGAAGCTCGAGGAGAAGATTCGCGCTGTAGATTATCGATTTCCTAAAAAAAAATGCTCAACAGAGCACCTCACAGAAGCAAAGGATCTAATAACTAAGCTTCTGAGAAAGAAAACCTCTGAACGATTATGTTCCCATAAGTATTCAGATTACTTAAATCATAAGATCTTCGAAGGACTGGATTTCGAGAAGCTCGAAAAAGGCGAACAATCCATAAGCTATGCAGGAATAACTGACTTGATGGCAAAGAGTGGCAAAACCTATTCTCCGAAAGCATCGGGAAGTCTTGAACAAGAAAAGGACAACTATATACGACCAGAGAAGATCAAGGTATACCCTGGTGTTATTGGTTAGGTTTGACAAAAGAGACATACAAACAAGCTTCACATAGGCTCCGAATTTTTAATGACATTTAAATAAGTAGGCTTGTATTCTATCAAGGCATATATGTCCTGTTCTATGTAAGCGCTGAACCAATATAGTTCATTGAGAACTTTTCACATAGAGCTATTGAAACTATATGATCCGCGATGTTAATTGATGCTTTGGCATCATTTCATATTTTCCAGGACGTGAAGGACCACTGTGCACTACTAACTTTCGTATCGAAGCAGTTCCAAGATATTGTTATCAAGTCAAAAAAAAAACTGTCGGTTAGTGTCTTTTCATATACTGGTTGGATCGCATAGGCAGGTTTAGGTCTGATAGATGTACGGGACAAAGGTTTCTAATATGCGTCTTGCGAACTTTTTATTAGGTGCTACGAAGGCACATAACAAGGCTCTACGTAAAGACCTATAGGATGGGACTTGGATTAATATAAAATTTATTTTGTTCCGTTTCAGATAAACCTCGAGGATATGCGAGATTCACCAGAGGTCTGGATAACGCGTCCTCGCTCAGATGGTCAAAGCATGTTAGACGAACAGGATGACATTGACCAAATATCGCCGAATGATTATCGCTTCCGAGAATTCATCAAGGAACAGACGTCAGAGCCGGTCAATTGAGCGTCCCCAGATGCCGCTGTGTTTGAGCCTCAACCATGCCAATTCAATTGAAAGGACAGATTCTCCTGGCCAGGAGCTGATCCAGTCAACCAAACTTGCGAACTTAAAACTAGATCGCGTTCGATTTGACCGAAACTTCTACTTTTTTCGAGTGTGCCTTGTACTTTGTCTTGTCTAAATGAGTATATCTTGTACAACGTTGTAGACAAACGCCTCTCCGCGCACTCACTGCGGCCACCTGAATTTGTTTAGTAAACCTCTTTTGGCGTTTCATAGTATTCACAGAAACAATTATAGTAACAACAACAACAACAATCGTGATGACGGCAGGAAAAACGCTGATGATAACATGATGAATCGAACAACAGGCCAATAGTTTACTATAGAGCGATATAAAATAATGAAAACTAAAGAATACTGCTGCTTTTTCGAAATAACTAATGTAGTTTTCCTTCTATTAGGGCTCTGCTCCGTCTGGTCGAGCCTATCAGTGCGCCAAACCGAAAAGAACTTGAGAATCGGTCAGGTTTTTCAGGCAAGAGGCAGAAACCTAGTAAGTAGGTTTTTTTTTTTCTAACGGGCTTTCTGCTGTAGCGCAGTGAAGAGCGACTGTAGATTGCTGATATTTGAGGCTAATTAAATAATGTGGTAAAACACCGATTCGATATAAAAATTACTGTTAGATCTTAAACTGGGGTCGACCCAAGCAACTTGAAGAGCTGGACAAGATATCGGGAGGTAAACAAGAACGATGGCTATGGCAAGTCCCATTTGGGATACTACACGAACGGTTTTGTAGAAATGTTACTATAGTGTTAAATTTTAGCGCTTCCCAAGTTCCGACGCGGTGGTAACAGGACACGTCTTTGCTTCCTCAACATTTTACGAACTCGGTTCAGTTACTACAAATATATAGCCTGTTTAATATTATGCTACTTACAGTTGGCCCGCGGTAAATTTAGCACTATCGAACCTATTGTTTGGCACAGGTCCAATAGGGTAATCTATATATGGTGATGCGTAATCTACTTCGTGTGGCCGTAGCGTTATCTATGGGGCGGCAGTAAATAATAAACCCACCCACACGAACATAAATGAGCTTTGGGTTTCGAATACACGCTGGTAACGAGTAGAATTTACAATACCTTAAACGCACGCGATTGCATCAAAAACTGATGCAATGACACACTGGACTAACTGCGGTCGGGAAAGTTCACGCCATATATATATAGACCATAGAGATGAAATAAGAAAAAGGATACAGGATGGACATCGGGAAAAAGAACAAATTTTATTATGATCGTTAAGTATCCTGTTAAAATAAGGACTCCAATCTAAAAACTGTTATCCCATGTGGTTGTTGCTCTCGCATTTCCAACACTTCAAAAGCAAAAGATCAAAAATCGTGTCCACAATGACCTATTAGTAAATGCGCGCACTACTATAACAAAATCTCTGTAGAGTCCTATGTACAATAGGTTTCTATTTGTCCCATTCAATAATCTCATGATTAAACAATGAATGTACTTCTGCTCTATTCTTTCTAAAAATATACTGAGAACCATTGGAAACTATGTACATACATACCTGAACGTTTACTTAAACGGCCCCTTCCATAGTACAACATGCTACGCAAAATATTTTCGACATGCAAAATGGAGGTTTCTCCATATAATGTGGAACACGTAACGTTGCGACATATCAACTAAGTGTATGATTCTACATGTCAGTAGATACCACGTGGCCCAGCTTGTATATGGACCTTTTCATTCTATTATTATTCATTGCTAGATCTGCATCATTTCTCTTGGGCCGTCAACGGGCTTAATAGAGGTAATTCTCTTCTTCTTAGTAGAAGAGGTAAGCATATCCTTGGAGAAACGCCCGGAGTCACAAGCCAACCCCCACTGCCATTGAGTACATCGCGTAGCGTAAAATTCGGCGCCTCTTCACGCTGCTTCCTTGAAGTAGAAAATATTTGAGAAAAACTGCCACGCTTACTGAAACACCGGACAACCGTCAAACTATATTTGTTACAAAATACAGAAGCATTTATATCATGCCCTCATATACGAAATTCGAACCGTTACCGAAAACGTCAGTAGCCAAGAACTATGTGTCAAATCTTATGTCTATATTATATATATATATATATATAAGATTATAAATTTTGAGTGATGTATACGAACGTTCAACGGCAAACGTTCGTACACTTCGTCCTCAAAATTTGCATCTTCTGTTCTAAGCCTCGATTCTGTAATTATAAGCTGCAGCAAAATAGACCTAGATATGTTTAACTGCAGTGTTTCCAAAACCGTGAAAGGAAGAAATCTATCTTTCAATGGTTTCAGAATAAAAACAGATTTATCTAAGACTCTACGAGGAACCTATCATGTAAAAATCAATTTATAGCCGTTCAGTATATGCCACATTTCTTGTCAATAGATAATGACTCTGACCAAAGTGCAGTAACGTAACGCTCTTTTCGGCGTAACTGTGCTCCTGAAGAATAACGGCAGACGTGACAAATAGTGGAATTGTCCGTTGATTTCTCCTCCCCGCGAACTTTATCATCTAATGGTAAACAGACATTATTTATATATTATATTATTTATATATTTCACCATTACTATCATTGTTGTTCTGATACTATTGTATCAAATGGAAACAAACAACGGTTCAGCTGACCCGAAGCGTCGCCGACATGGTTGAATAGCAGCGGGTTCTTCCTGCTGAGCACGTGAACTATTCTAGGTCTAACAACCGAACGTAAACCCACTTCAGTTCCCACTGGGAATTGGCAGTCGCTTGAGGCATACAAACTCAAAACTTCGGTGGTCGGAATCAGTCCGCGACTCATAGACGGTGCCTAGCAGAAACTCAATTACCCATCTGTACGCAAAAGCCGTTTTTGCGTATCTTATTCTACAATATACAAACACTATATTAAGCGAGCATAATACCTATCAACGCATACTTAAGTAGACGACAAAGGTAGAACTTAGTAATCGCGCCGTAATATGTAAGTGATTCTATAACCGAAGATGCGTGCCTTAATCAAGCGGTTGCAGAGGAAATACGTACTCAACTGAAACTCAGCGTGAACCATGTCGACCCACGAAATGTCCTCCCCTTCATGAAACACCAGCACGCAATTAGGCGATAGCACAGCCATCGACAGTGGTCGCCACATTCGGCTGAAAGCGCTTGCTCGTGATTACAAATGTACCGGCCATATACTGGGCTGGAATAAAATTTGATTTTCACTGTTTTAAATTCATCTACGCTTGTCTAATCTAAACATCTTTCTTATTCAAGTTATGCTGTTTATAACTTAAAGCTTCTTCAATATCACTTAAATATACACGTCACCGTGATTACTGTATACATTCTGATTTACGGCAACTAGAACTTTTAGAAATTTACCCCATAGCTTTAAGTTGGGGTTTGTCCGTTTGAATGGCTTTCGACGCAGTAGCAATAGCCAACATCAAGAACTCTTCAGTTGAGGTGGAGGAAGGTGATTTCATACTATTTTCGGCACCCCAGTAGTTCCTGAATGTTAATTCGCCAGTAACAATCATAGACATTATTGACACACGCAAAAACATACGACTCCAGCTAGTTTTTAATAGAAAAACATAATGTGTTAGAAATGTGCGGCTAAAGATTAGACCCGTCAGTATGTTTCTATTGCCTATGCTAATGCAGCCTAAACCGATTTTTAAAAGACGTACCCACTTAGTTTTAATGCAGTCCTTGAATACGGATTTCACTACGTAGCTGGCAAGACTCCGTTATTATAATAGATAAATGAAAGCTTAAGCTGTTCGCCACGGGAAGGCGAGAGCGGAGTGACGCATTCACACTCCGTAAACATGAATCGTCCTACCAGTCAGACTCTGTTGCTACGACAATTTGTCATATATAAAGTCAGATACGTAAACAGTAGCTACACATAAAGATAAGCACCACTTCTACGATTATATTTGGTAAAGCCAATGTTTGCTCTTCATCTAGAGGAAACGCCACAATATTTCATGCGATCCAACGTAACTAGTCGTTTAAATAAACACAAATCCCGGGTAATCTGATTGATAACCTGGAAATTGAATCCGGAACCTTAACCTTATGAACCTAATAGCCTAGTCACTCCAGTGTTAAACCTTATTAAGTTTTGATTGTTGTATTATATTACCTTTCGGAATCATCAATACTTTTTTATAGTTGAGCAAGCGCGGAGGTGTTCCCTTAATCGAACATCTTTCAGAGGATAACAATTGTAAAAATGTCTCCTGGATCGAGATAATTTTATTTGGTAATAAATATGGAGATGTCGCGTTTGTCAAACTCGGTTTACATTTCGTGTCGACACATAGCACCTTCCTATTATCATTTGAACTGCCTTCAGAAGTTTCGCCTTCACTCAATATATTCCCCTGAAAATATACAAAACAGAGACAATTGAACTAGTGCCTTTTATCGTCCGAGTAAGTCGTACGTTTTAAGAACACGGACTATTGTCATTTAAAGATAAAAACGCCGAACTTTATTTTGATTGAAGCCATTTCAAATATTAGCCTGATTTAATAAAATATTAACAGATGATAAGCTAATTACTTTCTAATAACACAGCACGGGCACCAAAAGTGATTTCTTCTGACTTCTAAGTGTTTCCGAAACGCTTATATGTATGCGGGAAATGGGGCCCTCTAAAGCGCTCGGTTTTTTGATCCATGATGTTTCAATAGTACAGATAAGGAGCGCATTTTTTTACGTACCCTAAAAGGTTAGTCACGGTATGTAGAAACGGAACTCTCAGCTCTTGATAAAACAACTGGATATTTTCTTTTTATGAGAATCAAATTAGTAAGTTTTAATTTTACCTAGCAAGCTAAAAGATTTTATAGGAAAAGGTGTCGTGTACGACGGTACCCTTCGGTATAAGTAAAACAGAATATTATGGACCAAGAAAAATTAAATATTATATTTATCTAATGTCAGATTAAATCAAATAGATCTAAGCTCTAGAATTACGTCCGCTGGCTTTCGCTCACAAGATCGTTAGTTTTTTATATCGCTCTATTCATTGTTAAGCTATTTGCGACAAAAACACTGGTGTTTTTAATTGTCACTTACTGAAATTACTGAGATTTCCACGGTGGCAAAAGACTTAAGGGTCACATTAAATAATTTTTGCTTATTTTTTGTGAAATCATAAACATTTCCTTATATTACTCAAATATAATAAGTTTAATCGCTCTAGCAGCTGCTTAAAATTTGGTACTTAGTGATGCTCAACACTATTTCTAATCTCGATACGTTTTCGGTATAAAAAAAAATGATGATAGGATACGCTACGCCAGCTCTTACCCTGTTTTAGATAAAGAATCGTTTCACATTTTTCTATTTAGAGCGTAACTGAAGTATGATGATCAAGTCAATCACATCGTGGGATATCAATTGCCGCGCAATTTAAACATTTTAAGAATTTGATATATCAAGCAGCATTAAGAGTCTCCTTTTTTTGGACACCACTCCGTAATAAGAAACGGCATCCATTGTAAGTATGGGCTTCACTATGGGAGACTACTATTATGGGAGTATGATGGGGGCTGGAACTGAAGTCGTCTTCTTTCCTGTTCGATGCTATTATCTTGCCTGCTCTTCCTCTAAAAAGACTGATCCATAACTCGTCCAAACGATTTTTTTGCTAGTAATACAATAATTACACGAATTGTCTTCAAAGTACACTATACGACTTTCCCTCAGTCCTTGACTCAGTTCTTATGGCCCCCGTCTCCGCTCTTTTTTTTTTTATTTCCGGGGTCTTCCTTACACTATCATAACACGTATTCAGAGGAGTCTTATATTAAGATGACAGAAAGCGCATTTTTGCTTTGTTTAACTTGGAAGGTTTTATGATCATAGCCACTTGTTTTCCCGTTAGAGGTTCTGATATATAGTCACCTTCTCTGCGATATTTCACCTCCGAATTTTCATCCTTAGGATTACAACACCACTAAAGAACTATTGTTTTTGCTAAAAATCTCCCTGCACAGCACTTTTATTAATCTTTTACAGATATCAGAAAACGGAAGAGAAACTTGATCACTGAGCGTCGAAGTTCAGCAGTAAACAATAGGTTTCCTTTGAACTTCTAATGACGCCAATAAACCTAGTTATAACTTGTGCTTGGCGCTATTATTTCATAACCTGTGTCTGTGGATGACACTTGGTTAGAAGTGGTTCAGAATTCTAATTAAATAGCTTTTGGCAAACTAATAATAACGAACTGCAATTTAATGTGGTCGCTAAAATCTAAGAGAAAAAATAAGAAAAAGGCCACTCTTAAAGGGCAAAACTAAGCAGCCAAGCTAGAAAGGGTTTCTAGTATATTCGTAGTAGAACGAAATAGTTAGAACATGTTATACATAACACGTTGACATCCTGTAATGTTGATTCATATTAGCGCAAGCATTAGAGGAAGCACGACACAAGTTAAACAGACTCCTAGCTGAATGTAGATTTAACGCACATAAAATTGCAGAATTCTGAGAATTTCAATGCAACACGTGCTTTCCTTCAGTATTTAAGGTACTTAATATTGACCGTCTCTCGATAACCAGAGGAGTTGCAGGAGTTTCACGGAAGAGGAAACGATAAAGTAGACTAAAGCGATTATATATATATATATATATATATATATATAATCGTTTATTATATATAGCGTCAATGGTAAAAATAGTACAATTAAGAGGAGAGCAAGACACACTATTTAAAATAGAGTAAGTTGTTTGAGGTGAAGGAGCAGTTATAACTAACTGTAAGAGGGAAGATCACCCAAAAAAATCGACAAGAAGACAGTTAACAAAAGCCCTTGAATAAATGTAATGATGAAATTTATTGTTAGGAGTTTCGGAAGTGGAATGTAGGGCATCGTTTTGTGTAAACTGGACTTGCTCAGTTACGGCCCGCTTCCGCACGATCACGCAGTAAATAATGAAAAGTACTTGTAGACTAGGATCAATGTTTTCTGGGGCAGTACAAGGAAAGTGGAGATAATACAAAGGCAATTGGGGAGAAGGCGATTCGGATCAAGATGCCAAGAAAAGAATTATGAGGGGCTGTTATGGTGACATACGACGGGATAAACCATGGTAGATACATGAAGCTAGCACAGAAAATATACGGACGGCTAAATGCAAGAACTGCATGAGATTCAAAAGTGGAGCAAGCTGCGACGCGAACGGAATTGAAGGGTTCTGAAAAATACAAACGCACAAAAGAGCACGTCGAACGAAGAGTAATGAGTAAAGTCTCTGACGAAAAGGGAAATAGAGTAATGAGAAAGTGTGTGGAGTTAATAAGGAAAACCGCATCGATCGATACATCATACAACAGTGAAAACGGATTGGCTGACGCTAGAATAGATAAGTGAGACACAAGGATAAGGTGAGTCAAATATCGAAAATGTAATATTTAGTGTCTTTCTGAAAAGGAGCAAGAGTCGATGGGCGATATCGAATACGAAATATTTGAGGATACGAAGAGAAGGAAGCTTTCGCATGTTATGACTGAAGTTACATACAATTATAGAATAGATAAAAAAAAGAATTTTCCCATACGGAGAGAATATCCACAGTGAGGTAGGTAATGATAATAATGCTCTAGAGAATGGGTAATTAGAGAAGAAAGGTAGTTGCGCATTAATTTCATGTAAATATAGTATGATTGAATAATAGAAAGAATTATAGATATATCAAATTGGTATAACGGTCTAAGCGATGGCCGTTCTTTTTCACGGCATAACAGGCATAATAGAACATTCAAGCGTGTATTTGCCGACTAGCGGCGTGATTCAACGGCATCTGTCTGTTCCATTTGTCAAGTTACTTCTGTACACCTCCCAGCATTTTCGTAGGCAACAGAGCTAGGCTTGTATCCTTGACACCATATCGTATGAGTCCGTAATCATAAGCGAACATACTTCTATCATCAATCTATGTGGTGGCTAATTTGTATAGCAATGTAAAATACGTCTCTTGAGTTGTTCCTTCGTCCGTTTCGACATGTACTAGATTTCTCCTGTTATTTAGCGACATCGGTAGCCATTATTCAATCGGTGGCCATATACTCCAGATTGGAACTATATTAAGCCTTGTCAAATGCATATTAATAAGGTCACATCTTCTATTGTCTTCGATGCACACATTAGCTCTTTATTCTTATTAGCCTTCCGTGCAGTTGATGTTACCATATAGATACTATGATTTGCCGCCCATAAACTTTAAAAACCGTTCGAAAGATCTTCTAGATGTTTCTTTTCTATCATTTCCGTCACCATTCTACCCATGACATATTCCACTACCGACCTGAGTCAAGACAGGACTCTTAATCAACTAATTCGTTCGTATTAATGAGTCTGTCTTCAAATATTAATAATAATTACGTCAACGAACCTTATAATGATCCTGTTCATATTCATCTTCAATACTGAGCCCTATTTCATTCTTTTCGTTTCCTGTTTCTTGCCTTAACGTCACGTTGGCCTCAGATCTTTCGCGGCTGGAGAAGACGCTCAAAGACGCATTTTCTGCGTTCGATAACGTTGACGGTATACGTCTCCTGTAGAAGTGTCGCGTAAAATCCAGTCAGAAACAGACTTTGTACATCTCAGACTCGATAAATCCCACATAAGATGGCCATGTATTTTCGAGCCTGGCTATTTTCATAACAATGCAGCTCTATTACGGTCGCCTACGCCATCTTATGAACATCGTGTTCTACAGCATTTAGCTTACATTACTAAAGACAAGTACGAATCCAATGTGCTGATCGTACACCCCATACTTATTCAAGCTTAACAATTTCCAGTTAGGCTAATGTGTTAGGTCATAACATAAGTAATATCATTGTCTCCTCAAACGTTCCGTTTTCCTTTTATTTATTTACTTATTTTTATCCACTGTCTATTTAGTTCTACGCCATTCAAATGCGGTCGTACTTTATATACATAAACACATACATGTATATATAGGACTCCTCTCGCTTAGTAAACGGACCCTAAAGGTAAGTTCACGCTTCAAAGGAAATATTCCGTGTGTAAAAAAAGGTGTCTCTTTGACAGTCTCGTTGCCTTTTAACGGCTCAAAGGCAGTTTGCAAAGTTCGGTCGTGGCGTCTTGGAGTTAGCTGACGCATTCCCCCGATTAACCATTCGAACCCGATGAGGATCGTCTGAAGCAGTCACAATAGTATGTTTCTTCTTAGGGTCTTAGAAGTAGGGTCTTTCATCGAGATGAAAAAAGAAAAGCTCCGGGACGTACGCCTAAGCCCAGATATAGGCCGAAGCTTTATTCGAAAAGAACCACGATTGCGTCTAGTAAGTCTTATATGGTGCAAAATGCTTGAGACAAACAAACTTTGTAGTCGTTTGAGTTACATCAATTGAACATAGACTATCCAACCTCGAATTAATTGAACCGGCCAGATAGACAAGGAAAAGTCCGCCTTTTCTATGCCAATGCCGGACTGCGCAATAATACTGCAAGAGTTTGATTGAGAACAGTTTCTAACCGTCGCGTCAATGGATTATCATCTTATTTTTGATCGCTGGAAAATTACATTGGCAAGCGTAAAAACCAACACTACATACGCTACAACCTACATTTATAGAGTATATATTTGAAAAAAGATGCCCTGTAATTCTGTAAAATTAGTAAAAAATAATTCGTCTAACCTAGGTTGTTAATCGAAATCGTGGGAAGCGGCATGAATCGACAAATTATACTCTAAATATCCAAAGAGACCAAAGCATTACTACCAAGTAAGTCTTGATGAATGTGGTATAGCTTCTGAAGTGTTCCAAAAAGCTTTACGTCTGAAGCGTTTGATGACGACGGGAAAGCCCCTTTGAAATGCATGTCTGAGGCCTGAACAGCTATTGCTACACTCACGGATTTCTAGAACTGCAAAAACGCGTATGCATTTCTATTTCGAGATTTATAAATACGTGATATGCCTGCCGCAAAGAAACGCGAACTGTAATATTCACAATTAAACTTCGTTTCAGTAGAAAAACGTACCACAATCCCTGACCTTAACTGTTCCTAATACCTACCTAGGTAAATGATGTATATATGATAAGAAATTTGAGAGTAACATTCTTTCCAAACCATTAGCCTAATTCAACATCCGAAAATTTCCGAACCAAAAAGCTATACTGAAATAGGAGTGAGAGCGCTGGTCCACTCGAGTAGCTAAATGGCACTTTGTCTTTTGTTTTTACTCTGAAACTGGGCGTCAAGATATTTTAATTTTTGTTAGTGGATAATAATGAATGAATGCTAACTTGTCGGTATTTTCTAATGTTCTGCGTAAGCTTAGGGCTTATCTAGTGCACGTCAGAGATCGTCTTTGAACTCGTTTAGTAGTTACATTATTATTTAGAGTTATGAACGCAATTGACGGAACTATTACTAGTGCAGTAGCAATTTTATGCTGGCGTTAGAATAGCTGTCTTTTTAGGACTAGTTTATAACTTGGTTACAATAAAACCAGTTACTAACCGCAATTCCTGCTGCTTTCTATTATTGAGAATTACTGTTTGTTAGTCTACTGACAGACAACAATGCTCCCTCAGCCTCGAGAAAATCTAGAAATCTATTGATTTTTTATATTTGCAAACAGAACGTTCAGCTTTTGGCTGTAAAGCAAGATTTTCGAAATAAGTTCTAGGTTACCGAGTTCTCGTTTTTCACCTGGTAATCCTTCAAGAGCTGCAATTGCCGTTAACGTAGAAAACAAAGAAGGTACACCTTTGAGTTACATTTTGTTTTTATACTGCTTAAAGCACGCTATCAGTCAATAAATACGTTACAACACGTAGAACTAATTTTCGGAAGCTACAACTCAAAATGGACGGATTTTGCTTTCATGACAAACTGCTGTTTTTTGTAGGTTGAAGAGCTGGCCCGCTAAAGCTTTTAGAAAAGGCTTGGGGACATATTTAGCGAAGTAATGAAATCATCGCGTTTTGATGCACGATGACATCATTTCAAGACTAGAATTATGGAGGCATGTTTGTTATTTATTTACTTATGATGTTTGCTATTATGTTAATGGTATGGCTAAACCCAGTCAAGCAAACAACTACAATGGAACTACAGTGATCAGGGTGCTGTTATTGAAATGTAAGAACGACAACACATTGGAAGGACACTTCCTTTTGAAGGATCCTAGTTCGTTTCAAGCACATGTAACTGTCTGCGGCCTGGAAAAGATAGTGATTATTCTGACCTAACATCGTCCCAAAATGCCGAAATGCGTGAAAAGTGGTTCCGCGCGTTGTTGAGTGTAACAGATCCGATATATATACACGTGATGCTGGGTTGGGCGTATAAGTAGCGGTCTCCTGACCCTTTTCCTGCTCCGGGCCTTCATTAGTCTATGATACGTAGGCGGGACCACGAATCACCAGTAAGGACTGCCCGTAAACAAAGTCGACAACCGATTTATAGAGGTTACATACTCACAAAGGTCAAAGAAAAGATCTCCCGTATAGGGCGTTCCGTTTCATCATTCGATGTCCTACTTGCGAATGCTTAGCCAGTTTGTGCTAAAAACCTAGTAAGTAAAGGTTGTGTTAAAAAAAAGGTAAAATTAAAATTAAAAAAGATGAATATTGAGTGTCAAGGTAACATTCCTGAATAAAGTCCTTCGTTCGAAAACAAATCTTTCATATAAATCAAATTTAGCTGTGAGGCGTTTTTGTTTAAAAAAATGTTCTAATAGTATTTAAACCGAGTAATGTCCTCGCCACGACGCAACACTCGCTTCACTATCCAATCACCCTTATATTTCGAGTTTTACATCCGGTATCGTTGTTAGGTGTTGCATCATACAGACGGCTGGCTCCTAGCACGAAACGAAGTCTCCGTTCATGCCCGGGTTCGAACCCAAACCACAACGTGTCTATAGTACATATATGTAAATGTACTAGTACCGTGTGAATAGTCAACTTACACTTAACAAGGATGCCAAGTTACGGTCCTAATCAAGAGATTGATTTAGAGCCGAGACATAAGGGTACGAAATAGATATTATGACTATGACTATGACGCCAGAGAACTCCGAACATTGTCAAAGCAACGCTATGAGCGAATTGTCTGCCCACTCGGATACGCAAGCCTCTCTATAAAAAAAAATATTATGTATAAACTAGATTATGCCATAGTTTTCCCTTAGTAAAGGGAACATTTGAAGCGAGACACTTTTTTTTCTTTATCACTTTAAAACAGTTTGCACACGAGTCTCAACGCAATTTTTACTATAACGCGACTAGCATTTGTATACTACTTTTTATTTTGACGAAAAATTAGTTACATAATTTAATCATACGAACATAAAAAAAAATAAAAAGTAATTGGTTCTACCGAATGCAATAGATACCTTTGAACTTCAACGTTTCCATTTCAATCGTGAATGAAATCAATCTGATGATCGTCCTATGAACAAAATTATCGCACCAAAATGAGTACACGTTTGGAAACACAGCATGATCCCATATCTGAGACGACAGCTGACAGATTGATGCAGCTGACTGACAACGCGTGAGAGCCGCTTTGATGGTGGACGCGCGAAATTGAAATTTAGAAATATCTCGCTTCTTCGATGGAAGTCTCATTCATTTAGGCACCATTTGTCATACGAAGTTGAAGCTCCACCAAGCTGTAGCGTTTTATATGAGACAATAATTAATGCTTCTTATACGACAACGGGTATGAAGCCAGAATCTACAATAATACCTTCTTTGATTAAGGCAAGTTTTCTCGCAAAGGCAACATAGAGAACATTGGGTGGAAGTCTGATTTAACGCAAGAACTTTGGTTGGCTTGAATCGTTCAAAAGGCTTCCACCCGTTGCCATTCGTTTTTATTTGTATTGATATTATAGTTTAGAGGAACAGATCTTCCGCTGCTGAACGAGAACTAATCGATTATCATTCCCTAGGTATTCTTGTAGTGGTTATATACTTTCGTGGACCTATTTCGTAAGCGTCAATGTTAGTGTAAATTAAGTTTTATTTTCGCTACTGTTGGAAAATACCACAAGCATCACTTCTATTAGCGATCTAAATGAGAGAACAAATTCCTAAGGGCCTGTTAGTGCAACAATAGTAAGAATGTGAAACAAAAAAATCAACATGTAATAACAGAAAGTAGCATTATATCAAGATTCATTGCCCGAATGCTTCAATAAGACGTGCCATAGATAGAACAAATATTGTCTATCTATTACTACATTGCTACGGGAAACAATTCTGTTTATAAAAAACACTCGTTCTCCCCGACCCTCCCCCACGTCCCCACCGATGTGGCACATATAAGTTACGTGTTTCATTGCAAATCAAAAGGACTCACGTACGCCATTACTATACAAATGTTATTAACTAAACTCCATGTTGGTGGTCCTTACGAACTACCCACTTACGTTCTCTTTGTAGATCAACATCAAACAGGTATACGGAGGACTCCAAATCTTAGCGCTATGCCTGATTATATAAAATGAATCACTAGTAATAAGTAAGGAAATCTAGTTTCGGCATGACCTAAGTTCGCCTAATAAGAACCAGCATCGCCTAGCGTACCACAACACCTGAAACCTAATGCACGGTTGACACAAGTGCATTAGCTTCAGAAAAGTTTCAGGCAACACATACTTAAGTGCATACAGAAACAATGCAGTTATGTGATTAATTCTAACAGATAAGCAGAACGAGAACAGTGGTCACGAATGATGTTAGACAAAAAGCACCCCTACGCCAGTCATCCTTGGTTCAAGCAGGTATAGTGAATTTTTCTGTCGTTTGATATTTCAACGACGGCACGGTAAATTACCTAGCTAGGCGGATTCGTCTGACGTGCATACACCATGCGCGCCCAGCTAAACTTCCATGCCGCAACTGTATCTATAACTGAAATGGAATGGTCACTTATCGCGGCAGAAAAGAAAGAATATGTTAAACATATTTTACGCATCAGTTAAGTTTGAGCCCGTAACAAACACACGCTCAGGTGTGCACCCTCGCAAGTTATTACTTGTGAATAGCCGTCTAGGGATTTAGCGAAGGGTTGACCTACTTATTCGCTCTCATACGACAGCCTCTGGGCGACGACAATATTCAGTTGTTGTGACGTAAATTTGTATCGAGTATTTGATGATGATAATGATAGCATTACTAGCTCATATGACTTTGTGACTTAGTAATTTGAACTACGGTAGCGTAAATCTACGCGTTGTGCCGCTGGCGCCACTTTTTTTAATGGTAAGAACCTTCGTAAACTTAGAATATACGATAGACATAATGTTATATTACTCTTTTTGACGAAAGTAAAGCAGTAATTAAATAAAATATGCCATGGATAAAAAACACGCGACCTAAGAGTCGCGCTATCCGTCGCGTTTTACCGCAAACAAAACCCTTTTTTTTGTTATGACAAACAGCCACTCAGACCGAGAACTTTGAAAGATATAAAAAACGTTAGATAGTACAACGTTTGCCTCTTCAGCAAGATGACTGCGATTTCTCATTTGTGACCTGTCAGTTGCTTTCGGCTTTCCAACAGAAGCCATTACATTACATGAAAATTGAAAGAGGCATGTGGCCTCATATCTTTGTACAGATCGAGCAGATCTTTCACCTAATGGAATTATTGAGGTTCCACCTCATTGTGCGCTCATATGATGCGGTACAAAGAAACTCACGGGTAAAACTGGCAATGTTGGTCTTCCTGCCAGCCGAAATCCATCCTTTCTAGGTGGGATCAAAACCTTTTAGAAGCAAGAGGGAAAAGGCTACAGAAACAGCAATATTCATTAAACTATACCTTGAAAGATCGCATTTTTAAACTATTTCATTATGTGCAAACTGGCTCATTATTAAGTGACTTACATAAAATGTATAATCTCGTTCATGTACTGCTGCTTGAGTTGAGCTCGGTATTTGTCTTGCATGTGTCCTGTACCGTAAGCACTAGGCCAGGCAGAGAGCAAGTACCCTCATGTATTTTCATATATCATGAAGAAAAAAGCAAAAAAAAAAAATAGGCCTATAGTTATATTGACACCGAGACTTATTTTACATTATTAGTATAATTACGAGTTGCCCACGGCGTGTTTTATCGGCAGAAGCAGGACGACTGGTATCTAATTCAATTCAAACTGCTAACGCCCAGTGTGAAAACGTTTACAGCTCTACTGAAAACAAAGTTAAAATAAAAAAAGTTCTGCTTAATTCGTGATACTTATATCAATATCATTAATATGTTACAACGGAGGCTGACGCGTGTCGCAAGTGGCCTGAGTAACAGTTCTGCTCGAAACCACCGTACCGACGACACTGACACGACGATCACGATCAGCACCCTCTCTGCCCCGCTTCACACCGCTGCCCTATTCTCTCCCACGAATGGTAGACAGCGCCGCAGTCAATAAATACCATTTGCTATATGACAATGCTGAATAGTAGTTTGTAATCGGACTGGTCATTATATATGTGGACATATATTTATACGCGTTAGTATCAATAGAGTTGATCGGGCTTACATTAGCAGCACAGCCATCTTTCGAGCCCTTTCTAAGCTGTAGAAAGAACGGCACGCCAATAAGCTTAGGCGCTCTCTCTTTCTCCCCACAGTCGTCCGGTGCTACCTGTGCTTATGCTTTGACGGCTGCTTGTTGTGTGGATGGGGCCCGTTTTGCAGGCGAACGCTTATCAGCATCACCGCCTGTTTGCCCGCTGTTGCAGATGTGCTGGTGGCAACCTGAAGCGAACCACAGAAGGTACCACTGACATCAATTCGCGCCGCGCTAGATCTCCTGCTTTCTATACGGAAGCTTCTATAGGCGTACAAACATCTCCGCATAAAAACACAATCAGCAGCGACGTTGATCATATATAGAACTATACACACATATACATGTTTGTTTTTGTAAAATCTTACCGTATGTCAAGTAAATTTGAAACAATCTGCTGACTGCATTTACTTGCGCTCATTTAGAGAGTTTAACATGTTGTCTGCCATGGTATTTTTTTTCAAATTTAAATATGTGGCGCGCAATATGGTTCGAGAAAATGTTATGAACTTCAAGTCAAGACGGCTCTAACCTCTTAGGCAGATAGAATGTACGAAAAAATCCTATGACTATAGTTTCTGCCTTGCTCATTAAGTGCAATGTGTAACTGACGTGCCTATGTCACATAAGATAGTATTAATGAGCGTTTTTGCAAGTACTTTACTTGTTGTACTATATTTAACGCCGGTGCCAGTTGGAGCTGGGGGCAAATCGCTTAAAACTCACTAATAAGCCTATTCTAGCGACATAAGAGGTCACAACTGCATTATTAAATAGGTGTACGGTCAAGCTTGTATTCTGCTTATGAGTACTAATTTGCCTAAGCGTATGTATTTCCAAATACATTTATCTATGCGGGAATCGCGCATGAGGTAAATTCAAGATTGCCTATTTGATTAGGTGCCTGCGCGTGTGCCCTATCTGCATGGCTACGATGATCAATATGAATTTGGAGTGTCTCTGCGATGCAGCCGGTGTGTCGAGTTCTCTGTTGAACGGCAGTGGTACGTTCTGTGAAGCTCTTGTGGTACGCCGCGGTTCGTGTGGTCGAATATGGCCGCCGCCTTGAAAAGCAGCGGTAGTAGCAGCAGCACCACCAGTCGCAACGCCCGCAGCAGCAGCAGCACATACACACTCACAGACATAGACAGCAGTGAATAGATGTATAGATAGAGCAAGAAAGCGAACAGCAGTAAGCGAGCAGACAGACGGACAGACAGACAGACAGTGGTAGTACTAGTGGTAGGCTTGCTACTGGCTGAGTCGAGTTCAGTTCAGCGCAGTGAGTGAGGCAATCGCCTGTCTGCTTAGGAGTTCTGTGCGGGTGTTCTGAAAAAAGACGATCGAAAATTTTGCTTAACCACCGGAAGTGTGAAATTCTCGTTGGTTTTTTTTTCTGCAGCGCGTCCATCGCTGCTCTCGTGCGAGGGAAGCGGTTTTCGTTCGGCGAGCGGTCGGCCCCAGGGCCCACGGAACGACCAGCTGCAAAGGGAACACAATAATGGCCGACGATACTGAATTTGTGCCCCCTCCGCAGTGTCATGTGTTCGAACCTACTGCCGAGGACTTTAAAGATCCATTGGCATACATTGCTAAGATTCGCCATGTCGCCGAAACGTCCGGCATCTGCAAGGTGATCCCACCAAAGGTACGTTACGTGAAAAAAGTGACTATCGTAGATAGAAAAAAATTACAAATGTGCGTGTTTTGTCCCGATAGATGTTATTGTGTCCTGCTGCTGGTGTCGATATAGTGGAGTAGTCAACAACTGTTGGCTATATTAACCAGTTGCACTGTGTTTCACGTAAAGGTTAGCCTTCGACTCGTTCGAAGGATCACGAATATGAAAGACTATGCCTATGCATTTCGGTGGATGTGGTTAAATTTGGCCACCACTACAAAGATGGTGTTGTCGCCGCTACCAGCTTATTTTGTTAACTGTTGTATTTCTATAGCAGCATTGGAGGCACGTCAGCGCTACACTTTAGCCATAGCGGCCTCTATATATCATCGCCATAAAGCAGCGACAGCAGCAGCAACAAGCAGACTTCGGTTGTGTCCTGTAGGGCCGACCCACCAGGTAACCTTGGGTTAGTAAAAATTCAGTTCCTAATCGCTGAAGGGGCATAAAATTTATTTATGTTAACAGCAGGCTCGGCAATGAGTGCAAGCCATTGGCACTCGTCTGCGTTCATTTAGACTCTTCGAGTTGGGGTGGAAATGGGCAGACACTCGAGGGTTTCCACGTGAGGATATAGCACTTCTATTTCTTGCCTGTCGAAACGCGTACGGCCCTGCACATATGTAGCGTTAGCCATAACGCGTCATAATAAACTACCAGTTTCCACGTAATTTGACCAATAAACTCTGGGGGAACAGCCGATAGCTGACGTTTGCGATATTGGGCTTACCGGCAGAAATAGTTTACTCGAGAATTTGGCCTGGGAAGAGCGGACCGGTCGTTATTGGCCAATTACCTACGCAGCGTTATAGGTGTTAGCCCGTAAATGGGTAACACCCCGCTTCCCCACACACTAACGCCTTTAGGCCTCAGCATCGCGATCAGTAATTCGCAGTAGTCTGATATATGGAAAATAAGCACGTCATTGTTTTGCCTATGGTGAATTGACCGAATATGGACAATTTCTCGATACAAGCGGTTTGAAGTCGTATTGAAATGGAAATTCTTTAGAGCATTCAATTATGTGTGTGGCTATCTCGGACCATAGACCGGCGCGAGGCCTCGATCGGTCGGTGGTAACGCAGTAAGGATAAGACAATGAACGGCTCCACCTTTTCGTTGTTAGGTTTTGCCGGTGGCCTTAATTGTCATTACTATGTTATGTTGATGATACTGTCGTTGTTTTTCTTCGTATCTATAATAATGACTATCTCCGTAAGAAAATTGTGTTTATTAAGGGGCCAACTGCCATAATGAAACGATCTTCCTATGCTTGAATTTCGTATGGGGCTATAAGTAAGCAGTAGCGGTGAGTGTTGTCCACCTAAATGATGCAGGAAAGTAGATTTAGTACAGCGCTGGTAATATATTGCCAACGTGAAGCGATTCATGTATCACTTTGGTTTCTGTCATTTGCTGGAAACGTGTGTAAACGATATGGATTTGAAGTGGATTAGAATCGGAGCTTCATTCTGATAAAGGGCATTTGTTAATTCGACCTTCATCCATTCATTCATTCATGCAGCTGTAATTGTCGTAGCTGTGACATGTTCAACAAATTATGGTACCGGGTGTAGTTCCTCCTCGTACGGGTGTGTGTACCTCATTTTAACACTGTCCGAATTTGATATCATCGAAGGTTAGCGATGGCGCGTTTGATGTTCAATACGCCATGTGAGAAATATCTAACGAGTGAAACCTAAAACGACGGTTGCCCTATCAAACTATGATGGCGGTGACGAAGACAACGATTTTTATTATTATGACGGGGTAGCCAAATTTGTCAAGGAGTATTAGCCAAGGTTAAGGCGTTCCTTATCATAATCAATGTGATACTGCTTAGACGCGATCTGGCTTTTTACTGAAGCAGGAGAAATTTGAGTGATGGGAGGTAGTGCGACTTGGCGGTAGCAGCAACCCAATTGGTGCTAGTGTTTATCGGGTATAGGTGGCTATTCGACGGGTCCACGTAGCCGCCATTGCTACAGCGAATGCACCCAGCAGCAGCAGCAGCAGCATCACCAGGAGCGTCGCCACCATCATGAATGCTGCGTGTATGGCGTGCACTGCTGCTGGTGATGATTTGTCAGTCTGGGTTTTCTGCTGTTGTTATTATAGCCCGCCATGTTACCAAAATCGTATGATATAGGGTAATGGGCTAGGAGGTAAGCTCAAGGGAAAATAGATTGAAGAAACAAGGCACGCCCCCTTCTTGCTGATTTAAAGTAATCTGTTGACGTCAGTTCTCGCGTGTTGTGGTAAATGTATCAGTGAACATAGGAATATATCGATTTGTGCGTATGCGGGGGCTGGGGAGAAAACGTTGGCGAATGGGGGGATCATTGGTCTTCAAGCCTTAGCATGGAGGTGATCCATTGATTAAGTGAGGAGAAGCGAGGAATATATCGCGAGTGCTTAAGCCAATTGCATAGATTAAGCTCAATTGAAGTACGAACCATATGTCCGTGCTGCTTTCGTTTATTCAGGAGCCGACTTTTCGGTTTTCAGCTGCTTTTACTCGTTTTTCGCTTCTTAGTTATACTGCCGTTGTCGTTGTTGTTGTTCTTATTATCGTCGTCGTCGTCGTCGTCGTCATTGTTAAGACTACTCTGACTGCTGTCGGTGGTCTTGATGCTGTCGCCATCAGTGAATGCTGGTGTTGCTGCTGCTGCTGCTGCTGACTGACTGACTGACTGGCGTGATGTGTTTGGTGATCGTTGGCGTCGCAGTGGTGCCGACATGTTGGACAAGGAGTGATTCGCTTTTGCTGTGACTGCGACAGGCTGCTTGCAGTTGCTGTTCGCTCATTTGCCGACGGGAATTTCTGTGCGGATGCTGCGGCGATGCCTTGTAGATCGAATGAATTTGTTGAGAAACAGATAGCTTAGGACAAACTTTAGGTCTCACTTAGGACAAACTTTAGGGGAAGAATTCGGGATAGGCTTCGTTCCTGTTGGTTGAGCACTTCGAATACGAACAATGTAAGCGTATCGTCATCATAACTTATGCCTGAAATGTGCTCCTGTTAAATTACGACGAATGTAGGTTTTATGGAAGTATATCAACTTTCTCAATCTGGTTTCAAGTTTTTCAGTTTGGTTATCCAAGAAGATCCAATGCTTAAACTCCTGCAAATCCTAGGTATTTAGGTGAAAATAAAAATTTTGATTTGTCGCGGACATAGGCCTAGCTGGATTTGGCCTTGGTGTGTACATTTAAGTGTTTACTTTCCAGTAAACGGAAACGCAGCAATATAGTGCATTTCCTTTGCCTACGTTTACATGTCTATATCGAGATGCATATACAAAAGTGGAAGTCTTACAGTTCTTGATAAACAGATAATTTTAAGTGGATTTACCTTAACTTCGTTTTCGATAATGACAAGTACGCCATTACGTTTCGGAAGGACTAAGCCTTACGTGCCATCTATCTGGTAGAAAATTAGATTGTAAAATATTTACCCAAATAAGGAGAAACGCATTCTAGGCAGCATTGCACGTATCGGGAACGCCTTTAACCCTTCATATCAGTTTGAACTGTTCGACATCTCTTAGTATTTGCATTCTCAGACCATTTTCCTTGTTATGAGATGAAAAAAAGTCCCTAGAAAAGGCGATAAAGTGAACTAAGACCAATGTTTATCTTTCAAAAAAGCTCTGTTAAACTATGGTACTAGGCGCCTGGCGTAACGCCTAACGTCGTTCGGCCAAGTCTAAATATCAGAATGATTTTCGCTTTACGACGTTGAAATGTTTTTCAGAGAATACAGCTTGTTCACCAAAGACGTTCTCAGTGAGAAAAAAATAAATGGAGGAAGTGCAGTAGTAACTTGTAGTTTTTTGAGTATTTACATATTGGCTATTCTTTTATAAGTAATTACCTGGCATATAGACAAGTGAGTACCATATAGAACTGAACAATGGCTCATTATGGAACAGCTTTACCAGAACGGTTAAATTATTTGATCTACGAATGAATTACATTGGAAAATAATATTCTTAGAAATCAATACCTTAGCTCTTTAATGCTTAGTGTTCTTGGGATTAAGCACCGGCAAGATTTCACGGGTGTATTTCATAAAGGCCGTTGAAAATAGAGTAGAAGAGTTTACTAAATGCAAAGCGGATAGAAGCCTTGCAGTTATGGACAACATGGTTCAAAGTTCTAAGTCGCTTGAATTGCAAACCACTTTATGCACCGTTTGCGTATACAAATGTAACTGAAATTTTAAGACGATTGCTTGAAGAATAGAAAAATCGCACGCATCGTTTTCGATTGGGAAGAAATTATAATATAACGAATAGGTGTACTTAAATCGGGTTGGCCGGCATCATTTGTATGAACTGGCCCGGGCTAAATAAAGCATTTTTTTCGTATAAACTTATGCAATTTTCCATTTGTTGGTTCATTTTCTAATTGGCAAACTCACCACTCTACTGATATGTTGGCGAAATGTTCGATTGATAAAACGAGTGCTTTTTCGATGGGAAACGGAGAGACGCTGACCTTATCTGCAAATATGCCTTTGGCCTAAAGCCCACGCGCCTGTGTCGTCTATAACAGACTTGCTAAAGTTCTGCGACTCAGCCCAAACATTCGCCGCAGTAAATAGTCGAAAAACTGGTACCAACCCAATTCTATCCTGTTTTTCATGAACTTCGTCGATCTGCCTTCTCATTGCAGCGACTTTCATCATCATGAATCTGCACTAGCCTTGGATGAATATGGCTCCAATCATGTTGGACATGAAGACCTAAGTGCTTTTATAGCTCACGGCGAAACGACTTACTTTTAATTTGTAGCACACACGTCATATAATAAATGTACGACGTATGTTTTAGCTAGTAGAATTAGTAGTAATAAACATTACGGAGTTTGACTCATTTGAAAAACGACTTAGTTAGCCATCGACGAAGCGTCCATAGTTGAAAAAGGAGGAGAACCGACTGAGTGGAACTTCAGCATTGTATATCAAATTTGAATATAATGCAGCAGAAAAACTCCTCCTGGTGCAGATTTATGCGGTAAGTATGTAGCAAAAATATGCTTTATTACATATGAACGTATAGTTACTCTATATTAATTAAATATTGTGTTTTCTGGAAACGTACGAAGAAAAGTCAGTATGAGAAAATTGCAAAGGGTTTGTTCCTACCTAGTTCAGATACCTGGAACTCTAGATGATCTTACACACATAAAAACGTTTACGCTTAAATTGATTAGGCTACGTCACACGCTTAAATAGGCCATAAATTTGTTTTTAGGCTCAGGATACGAGTCCTACAAAAATGCACTTTGTCTTGAATTTAATTACCATTATATTACCTGCTTAAACACTTATTGATATTGCAGACGATATGGCTAAATGTATGCGAGTCACATGTGGATTATCAGATGTATTATCAATTCTTTTTAATTAGAGTAATATTGCCACTAAAAGAAAACCGAATATTCAGTTTGGGTCCTTAACGAAAGAATTTAATAAGTTATATTAATGAGTAATAAACTTCAATCCATACGTGAAGTTCAAGCATTGTGTACTCATTTGTCAGGCACATAGAACAAAAATTGTTCCTAAATATGTTCATTTTGTTCCACGCTAACGATACGATATTCTTAATTGCTTTTTTACAGGATTGGCAGCCCCCGTTCGTCGTCGATGTTGATAATTTTCGATTTACACCACGCGTTCAGCGACTGTCTGAGCTGGAGGCTTCTTCTCGCCTTAAGCTCAATTTCCTTGACAAAATTGCCAAATTTTGGCACCTTCGTGGCAACACGCTTAAAATACCTATGGTCGAGCGTAAAAGCCTCGATCTCTTCAAGTAAGTGCTTCTGTCTTTATTAGAATATGCGGTATTCTTTCTAGACGTTTTGTATTACTTTCTGAAGATGTATGCGTATTCCAAAAGAAACTTATGACTTCGGTAACGAACCGATTATTTGATTGTCGTCGACTTCAACCACATGACTAGGTTACATCGTATTGTGCAGTCAGAGGGCGGTTTCCATAAGGTCGGTCGTGAGCGAAAGTGGTTCCAGGTAGTGCAGCGCCTGGGTCTACCTCCGGTGAAGTCGCTTTCGACAGTACTGCGCAATCATTATGAGCGAATTCTGTTGCCGTATGATATTTTTAAGCAGACTGGAGGATATGTTGCACCAGAAGCGAAGCCCACGGTTAAGATTGAAGAGGTAACTAATAATGCATTTCAGCAAAGATCCTTTCTGCATTATTACATAATGTACGCCGTCAGTAACGTTGATCGGCACTCAAAAGCCTAATAAGATTACACTATTTGGCGGTGTTTTCATGTATATGTCTCTACAGTGAACTGTATTTTACATCCTTGCATAGGTCATAACACTATTTTCTCATGTTTTTTTACACATCGTTGTCATAATAGGTGGACAGGGATTATGTACCACACGAGATTGTTCAACGGCAGAATATTCCACCACCAAGCACGACCGGTCAGAGGCGGAGCAAACGTCACTGCGATGCATCGCAAAATGAAGAGGGAGCTAGTACAACGACCGCCGTAGCTGGCGGCGAAGTGTCCGACAATAAGGAGCTCAAACGGCTAGCCTTCTATGGTGCCGGACCTAAGCTTCCAGGTTATTCGCCGCCTAAAAAGAAAACAAAAGATGAGCCGATTGGCGATGAAGCCGTTGCGCACATCATGTGCAAGGCATGCGAGAAAGGTGACGATGAAGACCGACTGCTACTGTGCGACAAATGTGATGCTCCCTTTCATACGTTTTGCCTTCGTCCACCGCTTAATGATATACCGAAAGGCGAATGGCGTTGTCCGGGCTGCGTGGCCAGCGAAGTTCTCAAGCCGAAGGAAGCATTCGGTTTCGAACAAGCACGGCAAGAATATACACTGCAGGAATTTGGTGAGAAGGCGGATCGTTTCAAGCGAGATTACTTTCATATGCCTATTCATAAGATCAGTACTGAAGTTGTTGAGAAGGAGTTCTGGAAGGTGCTGAGCGAGATTCATGCAGATGTGACAGTCGAGTACGGTGCAGATCTTCACTCAGCCGAAGTCGGCAGTGGCTTCCCTACTGAAAATACACCAGGTCTGATGCCGGAAGACCGTGAGTATGTCACATGCCCGTGGAATCTAAATAATCTCGCCAATCTAAGTGCATCCGTACTTCGGCACATCGACAGTGACATATCGGGCATGAAGGTACCTTGGGTGTATGTTGGCATGTGCTTCTCGACTTTCTGCTGGCATAATGAAGATCACTGGAGCTATTCCATTAATTACCTTCATTGGGGTGAACCTAAGACCTGGTATGGAGTGCCTGGCGATGCTGCAGAAAAGTTCGAGTCCGCTATGGCGGCCAAAGCACCCGAACTTTTTGAGGTGAGACCCCTTTTCCAGATTGAAGATTCGTGCGTATGGTATAGGCAATTCTTAAACAGCAGAAAATAGAACTTACTAAAATCATATGTTTCCTTTTAACAAATGCTACGTAGGCTCAGCCTGACCTGCTGCACCAGCTGGTGACAATTATGAACCCGACTGTGATGCAAGCGTCGGGAGTGCCCATCTTCCGTGTGGATCAGAAACCTGGCGAATTCATTATTACCTTCCCTAGGGCGTATCACGCCGGGTTTAACCAAGGGTGAGTTCTTCAGTGAGGTCCATTAAAATTTCAACATGCGCTATCTCGACAAACGATTCGTAATATGCTACGCAGTTAACTGCGTATACATGACGTTTTTGTTGGTTGCGTTGTTTAATTTTCAGTTACAATTTCGCCGAAGCGGTTAACTTTTGTCCTGCGGACTGGCTCCCTATCGGCCGCGCGTGCGTACGCCATTATGCTCTGTTGAACCGATTCTGCGTATTCAGTCACGACGAGCTCGTATGCAAGATGGCTTCCGACCCAGACAAAATAGATATTGGGTTGGCGGCGGCCACCTTTCATGACATGCTTAATATGGTAGAGGGTGAATGTCAACTAAGAAATGAGGTCAGTGATTGGGGTGTGACAAAGTCAGAAAGACTGATCTTTGAAATCATCCCTGACGATGAGCGGCAATGTGCCACTTGCAAAACAACGTGCTTCTTGTCGGCCATAACGTGCCAGTGTCGCGAAGAGAAATCGCATCGTGGAGATAAGGAGAATAAAGATGAGAAACTGGTGAGCAACATGGTTTGCCTTAACCACGCAAAGAATCTCTGTCATAGCTGCAAGCCCTCGCAACATATCCTGAAATACCGATATGCGCTCGACGAATTGCCGACGATGCTGGAAAATCTTCGACGAAAGGTAGAGGCCTTTGATGAATGGGTGCGTAAGATTAAGGAGCTGCTAGTCAAAAATCGCAATCCGAAGCCAAGTCTTGAAGACCTTAAAGCCTTGCTTAATGAAGCGAATGAGCATAATTACCCATCTGTCGATGTTGGGGCCGCGCTGAAGAAAGCGGTGCGGCAGGCCGAGACATATGCCCAATTTGCACAGCAGCTGTTGGCAACTAAAGTTCGAACACGGCGACAAGATGTGAACAATCAGCCAGTTGGACGGCTGACCAAGGAAGAGCTGGCTAAGTTTTACCAGTAAGTAGAATTGTCAAACAAAAGTATAGAACTGTAATGTTCTACGTCATATTGAATCTCATCACGTATGCCTATAATTATTTGTTAGGTTTAATACGAAATATCCGCGAATAAGGCTTGAGCTGCAAGTGCATCTAAAATGTAGTGATATAGTAATTTCTACGTTCCGTCTGTGTATCAATGAAGACTATAGATGATACCTGTTTTTCGTTTTTAGGGAAATGCAGACAATGCAGTGTACAATCAAAGAAACATCGATTATTCGCGGCCTGATGGATAATGTCGAGAATTTTTGCACACAGGCTGAAGGGTTCCTTAAGATGGATGACTTCGATGAGTCTATTCCGCTTGAAAAGCTCAAGGTACTCCTATCTTAATTTCTGTATCGGTATCGCGTTTTAGGAACTGTTAGGACAATTCCAGTTGTTTGTATGGCAGCCCCTTGATTTTGGAGCGACATAGACTTCAGTCTGCGCATATTTTACATATTATTAGAGTAGAGAGACAAATATGGTCTGTTAAAAATATTCGTTTCTTAATCCAGTATTTTATTTGTTGTCGTTTTTCATCAAAAAGCTGCACGTCGTATTGTAAAAAAAAACATTTGATTATCATTAGTCCGTGTTTGTTGTTAGAGACGGTGGGATCGTAGGATTTGCTTTGCAATACAATTTTGTCTTTTACGTAGATGCCCTCTAGCGAACAGATGTGACAGACGAACTTGTTTCGTTTTTTTGGTGTGTGTCTAGGAGTTGACTGTTCGCGGTGAATCGTTGGACGTGGAGTTACCTCAACTAACACAGTTACGGCATAAAATGGAAAGAGTTGGTTGGCTTCGTAGGGTAAATCGTCTGCTGGCGGCGCGAAGAAATTCGGAAGATGCCGTCGAAGTCAGCCTACAGGATATCCGAGGCCTTCTGCGAGAGGGTGTCAATCTCGCTCCTCATCGCAATGTTGAGAGCCGTGCCGGACAACTACAACAGCTACTTGTAGATTGCGAAAGGCGCGATGATTGGGCTGCTGAGGCTCTGAAGGCTAAGTAAGGCAAACGATTTAGTAAGCATCTGTTGTACATGCAGTAATAAGCCATTAAGCGGAATAATAAAAACCAGGACTTGTTCATGGTTATTCGCAAGGCAAATGACGGATTAGTGGTTTTAGAAAGTTTATAATAGACGCACCGCCTAGCCTTTGTGTGTGATACTATGTTGTCTGTATTATAGGCCGAAACCATGCATTGCCGACGTGGAACCTCGTTTACAAGAAGCCTTGAAGATTCCTGTGACGTTACCATCAGTGCTTTTGCTTGAAGAAGCATTTTTCAAGGCGAAAGATTGGGTAGAACAAATGCAAGAACTTACAAGCCGTCAGAGACACCCATATCTTGAACAGCTAGAAGCTCTTATGAACAAGGCAAAGCACATTCAACTTGGACTAGAACCCTCCTGGGGAAATCTTGAAAGGATCATCGATGGCGCCCGCGCTTGGAGAGAACGAGCCGCAAAAACGTTTATGAAAAAAAATACGCCAGCTGGTCTTCAGCTTCTCGATATCCTTAGTCCCAGAGACGATCCGCTAAATTCAAGGGGTGTGCGAATTAATAAAAAGGATGAAATCAGCGTTGTGAGTATTCATATTCTATACATAATTTTGTGCGATAAGAATATAAAGAACAAAATAGAATTGAAAAATCTATTGCTGAGGCGAAGTGTTGTCACTCATGGGTATGGACTGGATTCGTAAACTTAGACATTCGCACGATAAAAAAAACTACACGTCACTGTCGAGTAACTAAAGCTTGATGATTCCACTCAATTGTTGTTGTTTAAGGCGGAGGCGTTCGAAGCTGCCGCTGCTAAGGAATTGGATTACTACCGTAGATTACGGCGGCACAATCAGCTTCGCAGGCAGCGCCGTCATCCAAATAACGGCAATTTCAGCAATAGCGGCGATGATTTATCGATTCTTGAAGAAAAACACTGTATCTGTCATAGACCTTTCACTCGAAATATGCTTCAATGTGTGTTGTGCAATGACTTCTTCCATTGTGAGTAGTAGAGTGCATCACAAACAACGATGATTCTAAGTTGGAAAGAATTGTTTTAAGTATGGACCGACTCGAATTCCTAATTATGGTTTAGTATATCTGAGCATTCACGTAACGGAAGTCGCGAAGTCTACTATTAGGGTCCCTAACATCATTTTATTATTTTGCCACTTGAAGGCACTGACTTTCTTATCCAAATATATTAAAAGGAATTTTTCAGTCAAGACGAGTAGAGAAAGATTACCTAAAGGATCGTAATTAGTGTTCAAATTGGCTATTGCAGATCTGCAGAATTTTCTCTAATATAAATGTGCTCTGTGGGATTAGATTGTTTCGAAAAGATTTTGTTCAAGGCTTTTACCCTTTGAACGAACTGTGTGAATCAGTATGCGAGTGTAAAATTGCTACGTAAATAGAAAACATAATTTATCACTTGTGATGGCGTCCACTGCGCTGACATCATGTACATAGAAAAGTCGTAATAATTGCACGCAATTTTATAGTAATGTAACCCTTGAAAAGTGAAATTGAAAAAACTTTCGATTTTTTCTTGCTTTCTAGTGACGTGTGTTCCACCATCGTGTATAGCTCAGGCTATAGGAGCGCCAGGTGACCGTTCACCAACCGGCGGTAATGGAGCAAACGGTGAGGGAAGCAGCTCCGCTGGAGAAAGTAGCGGGAAATCTCAAGTTCGTAGCACTTATTCAGGCACAACAAATCTCACTCCACCGAAGTTTCTGTGCGTCTGGTGCCAAAGGGGCCGAAGACCTCGACTTGAGACAATTCTCCATCTGCTCGTATGTTCTATACTACCGTTTATTAGTGAATTTTGTATCTTTTAATGAAAACTGATTGGCCACGTTGGATGAGTTAGCTGGCTTGTCGCATGTTTTGTTTGATATGTGTACCTATGTGCTGGCCAAAGACATTTACATAAGTTTCCACGATGTTGCGACTTACGAAAATGGTTAGTTAGCATGTTCCTAAACAACTGCTGAACGATGGGTGCCAAAAACGACCTTTCTTGACGTAGTGTACCCTGTAAAATTGTACATTTTGGTTTGGAGCATAAATTCCCTCTAAACGTTAGCCAGCTCGTCATCGCAAACTTGGAATCTGTTAATGCTGTGCTTCATTTCTGTTGCTGTAAAAGTGCTTATCTTCATAATCGAATAGGCACACATCAAATACAATGTGTTAGGTGAGACACCATCTAATTGGTGCTGGGAATGCCGCTTATCTTTCATAGTGCCCCATGGAAGCAAAACTATTATTTAGTCAAGAAGACAGATTCTGGACAAAGATCTGCACCAAAGCATATAGCTTACCTTAACCCCTATGGGTTAACTTGTCGACGCACATCTCTCAAATTCGGCGTATATAGGCCACCCAAAAAGGAGTGAAATCGAAACTCTAGTCTGACCGCAACATAAAAACGTTTCTAATGTTTCTTTTCTTGTTTTGGGTCATGTGTAGGTACAGCTTGAAAACCTTCCCGTTCGCGTGGTGGAGGGTGAGGCTCTTCAATGGCTGACAGAACGCGCAATGCTGTGGCAAAACAAAGCGCGACAAGCGTTGCAGGGTCGGGAGGTAATCGGCGCTGTGCAGAAGCTGCATCAAATTGCTATGATGATACAGCAAGGCGAACTTGAACACCTTGAATCAACGTACGGATTTGCGGCTAAGAGGAACTCTTCAGGTGCACAAGAAGGCTGGTACTATTCAAGGCCTCTGGTTCATTTACCCGGCGATATTCTTGCCAAACTCGAAGACCTCATGATGGAGGGTGATCTGCTAGAAGTATCTTTGGAAGAAACCATGTCTCTTTGGAGAGTAATCTCGGTATGTATCATGGCCGTGCTGTCGAGGCATTTGCTCAGGTAACTGGGTACCAAAGATTGTGTCTAATAATTGCGGTCGTTTGCTTCCATGCATAGTCAACTCGATCGAATTTGCCCCCTCTGTCAGCAAGCGGATTCGACAGCGCGGAAGACAGTCCACGTAAGAGGGGCCGGAAACCCGGTTCGGCATCTGAAGATGGTCGGAGACGAAGAGCCCAGGCGCCCGCAGGTGCAGTCAGCTTGAGCGTTCAGGAGTACGAGGATAGTTCGTCGGGCGGTGGTGACGAAGAAGATGATGACGATGAAGACAAGTTCGTGGTTGCTTCATTTTTCGTTATGTAGACTTGATGTAACGTCACATAAATTGTTATTATTAACACTTATAACGTGTTATGTTTATATCATGTCCACGTTGACTGATAGAAAAAATATCAGAAGAATAAAAATCATACGATTATTACTAATACGATTGTTACCTTTTAAGGATAAAATTATATAGCCAGCAACAGGCTGTAATACGATTAGGCACATTCTCTACAGAATAAACGAACGGCAAATCAAGTGTAACGGAGAACGTTTAGATCATCAGTCCTTTTATTTCAGGTTTCATACTTGATTCCCATTTAACGATTTGCATGTTTTGTTGCATTCAGGTGTTCAGCCGACCAATGTGAGCGCCCAGAAGGAGAGGCTGTTAATTGGGTGCAGTGCGACGGTGGCTGTGACAAATGGTTTCATATGCGCTGTGTCGGCCTTCCCGATGATCATCAAATGGATGACGATTTCATCTGCAGCGTGTGTAGCGGTCAAGATGAACCATCAGCTGCAGGTGGAAAATTACAGGCGGGCTCATCTCGATCAGCCTTAGACTCCCGGTAGAGTCTTGCCCAGTGACTGCACGAACAGAGATCGATGCGAAAACATCAGCATCGAAGCAGAAAGTGTGGAGCGCCGCAGATGACGGTTTTTTTATTACAATGAGTTGAACGTAAGAATTTGGATGGGAGAAGAGTATGTGGGTCCCCAAAGAAATGCCAGAGGTCGCTCAAAAGTTCGGGTTTTTCGGGAACATTGGCCAAGGACTGACAGGAAATTTGGCGCCTTCCTGGTAAAACAAAACAAGCGAAACTGTCCGTATATGTGCCCCCCAAGAATTAACTCAAACTGATTGTGTTTATTGATGAATATATCAGTCGTGCTGACCGATTTCTTAGTGGCTGTTAAAAATGTTGTGAGTAAGGATGAATTGTTCATTGGCGCTATGTGGTGACAAATTTTGGAACAGTTTTTTTGGCTTCGCAAGGTAGCCTATCAAAGATTTGTAAAGGGAGTAGGATACGATTCAGAGCATGAGTATCAAGCAGCTTTTGTTCTATTATAAAGGAAAAAGTGGTGATTAGAAAAGATTTAAGAGAACGAAACGGGAGATTCAGAATGATTCTATGAATCCACAACGACTGTTTTGCGAACTCTATAAATTGGCTGGTATTTCTCGAAAAAGATAATAGAAGAATGGCTGTGAAATAGGCGTGGGGAATGTTGTATAGCGTGTATATAATGTACGATAAACTTGTGCTGTTATTGCAAAGAGACAGATAGCTATTACAGCTGACATCAATAATATGATCATTATTGTAACTATTAGAGAACTATATATATATATATATATATATATATATATATATATGCATATATATAGAGACCGATCGAATAATATGAGGAGATCAAAGATATGTTGATTATATGATATCGCCAGTCATGACAATGTGGACAATTATTGTACGGATTTGATGGAAAAAAGATAAACATACTGCGTTTAGTAGAAGATTGTATTTAAAAATCAACAGGTTAAGCTTTCGAAGTTTAGCAGTATAAAACAGCATATTTAGTAGCGGAGAAAACTGATACAGACATGCCACAATAGGGCCGTTCATTGATGCCGCTGATACAATGTTCGAAGGTGAGGAATAAGGCAAATGGTTCGGCAGGCAGAAGTTGCTAATTAGTTAATCATCGTATTTCTTGGTAGTAATAACAATTATTATTTACTATTATTCTGAGGGTAAGCTTGTAATAGTAAAGCACAGTTAGTAGCTAATGATAATTTGTCATCTAAATGACAATGATTATTATGCCCAATAAAATACAACAGGCCGAAGGGCGAACCAAACCTTAAAAAGAGCGACGGAGCTTGCAGTAAATAGAGGCCAAAGACACTAATTTGATCGTCGTAATATAATTATACAGTGATAGACCTACCGATTATATTAATAGATAGCGGCATCAATGATAGAAATGCATAACTGAACATGTGCACACGCATATTATAAACACTATTTTGTCTATATATTAAATGCCTCGCGAAATTTTCAGTGGATATATGATGATAAAAATTAGAGAAATAATAGAATGACCCGCGCAGACACCTATTTATTCCATGAACCTAAAGAAAATAGTGATTGACATAGCATTCTGCCGCCGTCGTTAGCGATTTTACGACGGAGATAAGATAGATACTGCTAACATGAATGAACTAAAATAAGCATTAACTATAGAAACGCGCAGCCTCCAACTCGTCGGGAAGTTGTCCTGGATCAGAAATAGGAACAGATTTCAGGGAATTATTAGATAAATATAACAGTGAGCGAACGGAACCCACGTAGGACAGGAATCATAACTGATGGATAAATTGTTGCAATTACTAAGATCGCCCCATCCGTATGAACTCCCTCATATCGTATTTTAATACCCATGATTATCATTTTTGTGATAATTACGATTGCCTGTTATCGTTGCTAATAATGGAAATTATTCTAATAATTCTAGTCCTATCCGGTAATATTTGTATCACTTGTGGTGGCAATATAACTAATTAGGAGGAACCATTTGTATTGAATCATTTCTGGATAAATGCAACCCTGCTAGATGGAGATCATGCTGCAAAATAAATCCTCATATACAGGTGAGCGATAAAAATAGCAATAAATCAAAAGATGAATGAAAGCCACCGCCGCAGTGCAGTGACAACCACCGTGTGAGCTCTACTTTCTGGTCGGCCTAGTTTTCTTGATCTCTATGACCTTTTTTGACGCAGAGAAGTCGTTCAAGACATTCACGTAGAATGGAACATGGACTAGCGTACGGAGTACTCCTCCTCTTTACTTCGCCTGGGGTCCTCAAGTATCAGCCGCACCTAACTACCAGACACATAGAAACACACAAACAGTAATAGATAGAGGTAGTAAATATTGAAGAAATATGTCGAGAACAATGTTGGTGATGATGGTTATCGCAAATACATCCAGAAAGGAGGAAAAATATATTTGAGGTACCACGTCATCGACTGGAATTAGTCTGTCGTGTCCTTCTAGAAAAAAACTAGAAAAAGCGTTGCAAACATAATTCACACCTTCGTTACATATGTATACAGTGTGTAATGAAAATGTGAACAGGCACGGTCAAGAGGAATTGATGCAAGAGAACAGAAGCTGTACGAGGTAGATAGCCCTACCATGAAAATGTCTCTCGTCATCTTCTATGGAGCGAATGGGAAAAATAGCGTCGGAGTGAGGCTGATATCAGTCTTACGTGCCCTGGACACTGGTCCGATGTTGCTTTAGAAGTTGAACCGGTAAAGGTAACTTTAAGCGCCGATAGGCTGCCTACAACTGAATGAACTACGGATGGACGAACGACGCACACTTGCAGAACACACTACTTCCATGCTCAGGGAATCCCACAATTGAGACACCCTGTAAGCGAACTAATATATATATATATTAGTAGTATTATATATATATATATATATATATATATATATATATATATATACATATAGATTAGTAGCAGCAAAATAAGATATGTTGGGAGTGCATCACCGACCGATAGGCCGCTAAGCCCCGAAGTTGAAACAGGAAACAAAAAGAAAATAGATTCTGAGAGCAGTACACGAGCATGCAGAAATTGAGAGATATTGGCACGAGTTTAACGAAGACGACGATGCAAATATAAACAAAGTGTAATAAAAGTTATTAAACGTCATTCAGGATATGACAAAAAAAATCATGTTTTCTATCAAAACAAAGCTATTAGGTAAAATGAATACTGTTTAGGAAAAACACAGCATGATCCGTGCATATTGTTTTATAGTATGACTGCACCAGCCCCCGTCGTCATATAAATTTGGTACATCTGTAACTTACGTGTAAGTTAGCTAGTTGGTTGTTCCTTATAAACGTTTCTATTTTTAATTCCTTTAGAAACCAAATGTATACAGGCAAAAACTTTGGGTACCCTTGACGGCCGGACTGCTCGCATCGAACTATGTCGAAAATCCCATACAAGTACTGGCTTTCGAAGGCTTTCATGGCGCACGTTGCGCGAAAACAGCGAATTCGATAGTCGAGGCTTCAGCGATGCATCTGTGGAACTATTGTATTACCAAATGGTGAGTCTCAAATCCAATAGATTCGCATTTGAGAAGAGCGAGGATTGCTGAACATTGTCTAATTAAAATTGACGCTAGCATTGAAGGATACTTAGCAATATCAATGTACGTAGTCACTTTTGAGCTTTTTTTGTATGCTAAAAGACCTGTACACGTAGTTGTTCATTAGAGGTAATTTTCTTTAAAGGTTGATGCCTAACTGTGAGTCTAACGGCAGGTATAGAGTGTCCCAGGACGAAATTTCCTTAATGTGCTAAATAAAGAAAAAAACAACGTTTTGTAATGAATAGTATGAACATTGACGTATATATTTCCCCCACGTACTTTTATTTGTGAAAGTAGCAGAACTCTTTGACTCTCCATGTACCTTAGTCTATCAAAATTCAAAGTAAAACGTAAATCAATATGATTCGTCTACGCAGGTGTACGTTCTTTTTGCCTTTAACATAACATGATAAACCAGATCGGAGTTTTAAATAGATATTATATAATAACTAATCCTACTTATTCCACGCAGGTACAAACATCATGATAAGTTATACACGATATGCATACACATAGCCTTCAATATATCAGAATGTGTGTTCTTTTGAGGTGACATATGAAAGAAAGGTCTATTTTGCGTACCTCTGAATTGCATTCATGTCGCAACACATTTTAATGATTATTACACTTTATCTAGAAACGTTTGAAAAGCACGAATACATTGTTGGAAATACATTCGGATTCATGCAGTTCATCGTTTATCGCTGCAATCTCTTTTTCTGCTCTTTTGTTCCATTTTTTCTTCGATTTGTTGCGTTCGGTTTTTACATGGCTTTTTGTTTCTTTATTGTATCTATAGAAGAAGGAAATAATCGTCATCCATACCAGTATGGATATCTTCGTGCATACACATACTTCTTCCTAATACGAATGAGCTTCAATTGCACTCACTCGTATTTGATACGCACTCAGTAAAACCCATCGAACCCTCCTACATGCAAAGAATAGATCGCTGTCCCGTTTATCCGGCGTAGATAGGTATAATTGCGCGCACATGTTATCATTAGAGGAAATATAATTTTTTAGATAGTAAAGTATAAGAGTTTCAGTGTTATAAATTAGTATTATAAAAAAAAATAGTTGTTGTGTGAATAATAGGTGTTTCTTTTCTAAATCCTGTTAATTTCGTTAGCGCCTTATTTTTCACTTGAGAGCTGGGTCCGATATACATGGAACAGACACTTTCTCGAACGGCTGTGCAGATCACTCGTAACCTTTTAAACGATAACATGGTGCATCGACCGGCTATATTTTGAAGTGTAAAACGGAATTGAGGGCATCAAAAAGGTTGTTGTTAAGGATTAAAATAACAAATGATCTGATATGCTGATGATTGCAGTGCGCGAGACGCTGGCGCTCCTCGACCTCATTGTCTGACATAGAAGGATCATTCATTGGCATATATTTTCATTATTTCATCTTTTTTTAGGCGTACATAATTACCCACTTACCTATTATTAAAAATAATATACTTTGTATTTGAGATATTACTGTCAATTACGAACCCAGTACATGGCATTAATACTATTAACCGTCTGCTTGTACTAAAATTGTGTTGGGTTATGCGCGACCCATTATTAGCAACTCTAAAAGATTACAATTGCTATATGGATCCTGAGTCCGACACAATTTGATCTTCCCAAACGACAAGTGAAGAGTTTACCTTTACAAACCTTTTGTATTATTTGCAAGTTTGTTTAAAAGCAGAATATTAATATTTCACTGCCCTCTGCCCGTATGAATCATATAAATTTCAACACAAAAATGACAGGTCTAATCCGCGCGATACTGTGATATTTTTGATATGAAATTTTGTGGATCATCCTTTCTCTCCGATTATTTTTGGGTGGATTGGAAATTTATAGTGTCCAGGTACTGCTTCAATTTACATTTATATCTGATGGTCGAGGATGATGGCGCATATATCTCTTCTCTAAATATCTCGAGATATCAACGTACTCGTTGTCTGATTTGCTAAAAAATATCACAGATGTAGGTCTAGATTGTGAAATTCTAATACCCGCTTAGCTTGTTGCTGCCGCTGTTATGTAGAGCAGACCTCTCTTATATAATCATGGTTATGGTATCCGTTCTCATTAATTGCTAATGAACAACAACTGTGAATATGCATCTTTTCAAAATTATCCTGAATAGGACGATTTTTCGTTGTTGTGTGCAGATAGGAATCTCACGTCCTCCTTATCATGTGCTGCTTCTTTATGAGCTGGACCTTTTAGACAACGTAAGATCTTCAATACAATCCATAAAACGGTTAGTGGAATAGGCGTAACCACTGACGCAGTCACTGGAATTATCTGTAACAAAGTGAATAACCCGGCTCAATGAGCATGACCTTGTTGTTAGTGCTCGACTAGGATTATTTTCAAACACGATGTTTTCTACAATAAGCAGCTGCTATACGTTTATTGAGATATTCAAATCAATAGAAGTAATAAATTTTAATTACAAATGTTCGGTTACAGAGGTGTGTTTCTTCCTTTCAATGTATCTAACAGGTAAATAAATACTAACCGCTGACATATCACCGTCAGGTTTGGGTAGTGACACTCCCAAAAGGACGATAGATACACCTGTATTTTGAATACCTGTTTCAACCATCACCGTGACAGCGTCCGGCCACGACAAGCCACTAACTCGGGCCGCGATTAAACCAATGAGAAATCCTGTCCATACATTTACCATTGCAGCCAATGTAATCTGTACAGAGAATCCAAACAGAGAAACGCAAGTTGCATGAATTGTATTGAAATAAAATTTTAACATACCACGGATCATATGGAATAATCCGAAATATTTTTCTTAATAAAACTATCATGTATGCTTTCCAGAACCTAATGCAAGTAGTTGAGCCTTTATTAGTAGTATAATGGGTAACGTGCAGTTATTACTTACTTCCCAAGTAAGCAGTCGAAACATATAGAGGTTAACCCATGTACCAAAGATAACAATAAAGACAATCATCGTTATTGAGAATGGCGTAAGAATTTTCTTACAGAATACTGTGCCTTTCGGGCAAACCCTGCAATAAAGAAAGTGAACACAATGATTATGTACTTATTTCTTTTACATAACGTTTTTGGTCCTACTGTGCGCTCTTAACTCGTGTGTAAATTTTTATTCAATTGTTTATTGAATTTTATTTAATTTAATTAGCCGCTTCAAGTTCATCTTTGTCGCATCTCGCTGGAACCCAAAAGCGGAGACGTTTGACTTAAATTTAATTTTTTATTAATCTTAGTCTTGAGATGTACGTATGAAATGTCCTATTGTTAAACGCTTATGGCGGCTACTTATTACATGTCGAAAATTACCTTTGCATTATTAGTCCGACACCAACCGGAATGACTATTCCCACCAAACCAGTGAGAATATTTCGAAACGGAATTCTCGGCGCCGTTTCACTGAAATAACAAAGCAATACAATTATTATACATGGTGACATACTTTGATACAAAAATTCTACCACGGATATTCTGTTCAATGGCTTGTTTTTTAAGAGCTAAACCAGTCCGCCGTACCGTAGAAACCGATTCTGACAATACAGTAATATAATATTACGGAAAAATAGAATAATGGTGCTTACGCTGCACGAGGTGCTTGATTGAATGATTTTTTGAAGAAGTCTTATCTGGGGATCAAACTCCGAGCCTTGTGCTTATAAGTCATATGCTCTACTCGTCCTCTCATATAGACCCTCGGATCAGCCGTATTGTGTTTCCATAGAGAAAAAATTGTACACCGCTCTATCGCTAAAAACCGCTGCCTGAAGTGCCTATAGCGAATAGCCGTAGTAAATCAATTATCAAGCGGACACAGCCGTTGAATGTTTAAATTGACCAATGAGAGTGTTGCTAATCACAACTGTGTAAAGAAATCAGTTTGACAACAGCGCAGATTTCCTCTCACAACAACAAGTTAAAATAGATCCTATGACGGTAATATGTTTCACATTTCGAAATTGTAAGTCCCTACAGATACATACCATCGTAAACATTAATACTGCAATTATGCAAGCCATTGTCTAGGGTTACTTACTTGAAGAACATTTTTCCCACTGTAAATAGCCAAAGAGGCATAAATCCCAGAGAAGCAACGGTTGATAGGAAGGTCATGGTAATCGAGAGGTTGAGATTGCCTCCTAACAGTACTGTCCACATGTTGGATGCCCCTCCTAAAACGAAGTGATACCCATCGTGTAAACAAACACTTTTTGGAATGCTCTATTCTTATTAGGTTGTCATATGTGAGCTGCATCAAGAGACTCATTCAAAAGACGAAATTTAGTTGATAAGAACAAAACGTATCAATGATTTGACAGAATATCTCTGTAATACATAGGATTTATAGCGTGTATTTTAAACCAAAAACCTGCGCCGACTCCTGTAAAACAATGAGGATGGTAAATTCAAAATGGGTACTTACCTCCTGGAGAGCATCCAAAAGTAAAGAGACCTAATTGCAGGTACGGCTGACTCAATAGATATACAGCTGTTAGATATGATAACTGAAAAACGAGAAATACGGCCGCCAAGAATGCATTTAAACTCACATAGAATTCGTAACAACTGAATGGCGCTAGTTGCTAGTGTACTACTATGTTGTAAAACTACAGTTCTAGACACTACGAGAGAAAATATTTTACGACGAGATACTTGGAAATCTCTCCCATCAGCTATATTCGTACGAGCGTTGAATATCGATTAGATCTACCATTGGAAATACAACCACAACAAAAACTAGCAAGACTTACAGAAGGCATAACTCCGTATTGGGTTGTCAGGCCGACAACAGGACCAATCGGTTTTCTTAACGTCTCCTTGATGACGTTCATGTCAAGTGCACAACCCATATTGATGTAGTTTAAACTCACTAGGAGGATGATGCTGCCCAGGAAAATGTGTTGGGCTACAGACTGTTTCTGGACCACAATCGTATGTATCTGTTAAATTGAAAACAATTTTTAAATAAGCACAGAAACAATAAAACCGATAACGTCGCGTACGATTTGAAATTTCCACTTCAAAAACGTAGATAAACCACGAACGAGGGGGAAATAATGAAAAGTCCATTTGTTTTTTCTGCTTTTGCGGATCGCAATCAGCCCGCATAGAAAAATGCACAGACCTTTGATTGCAATTACTAGTTCTCAAATTTGAGGCTTGTAGAGTAAAAATTGCCTTTCAGTGTTTACTGCATTGCTTACGGTTAGTTAGCTATGAATTAACTAAACCATACTATCTCAATCTAGAGAAGAAAACCAAAACTACGGAAATCACATTCTAGTTGTCCAAAATGGAACTTATTTTTAAAATAAGATGATCATCGTATTTTAGTTGCATATAAATCATATTACATACCTTATCATTAATATAGGTTTGATTGGGAGATGCAAATATAATGACCTTGATATCCGTATGCCCCAAAAGGTCTGCGCTGGCTCGAAAAGACCCGTTCAGCCTTTGGTTACCGCTGAGACCATAAAAAGGGAATGCATAAAATATTCGACTGTTTGATTTGTCAAATACTGACACTATATGATTTGAACATTAATGTAGGAAGTCGGTGTACACCCGCATCATCTTCTACCATTTATACATTTATTTATACATATAAATCGCTGTTTAACACTTTGAAGGAACCAGCACTCTTAGGTTTTGTGTATGATTGAAAAGGTGTATTTTTCTTACACAGTTTGTGTTGGCTTTGCACGATATGCGGATGTATTTTCTGGAATATGCATTAGAATATAGAGCTTTCGGTTTTTTTTATTAGTTATGTTTTTATGCAAGACTGCCTAGGAGTTGGTTACCTGTCGTATTCGACATGGCAGTCATCGACATTCGCAGTAGAGGGCGAAAACGAGGTTACTTTACAGTCATAGCTTGTACTCGAAGCACTCGGCCTTATAGTTTCATTGGTCCAGAAACTCACGTGCAGGATTTGGCCGTTGTATAGTTGAATACGCTGGAAATCAGCGTATATATATACATATATATATATATATATATTTATATGTAAAAATAATGATATTAACGCTTGTAGTTCTGCATTTTTTTCAATGCTGTGTATTTCACACAAATCGATAAAAACAAAGAAACATTTTATACAATCGGTTTGGCCTGTGTTAACTCACTTCTTCATTCGAACCCTTCGTACGCACTGTCGGGTAGAAGAAAAGTTTTGGAGAACCTTCGCCTGAAGCATACTCTATAAGCGCGAAGAGAATCGCTGCCAAAAGGGAAATGGGAACCATTGGACACATCTTAAATACTGATTTGATGTACAGTACAGCCACACACTGAGTTACACACCTGGAACGAAGTACGATACAATTGATGAATTCATTAGTTCGGGTCGCGTGTGAGATTCTATGATTACAAATACTCTCTTTGCTTGGTACGCCAGGTCTCCGAAGATACGAAACATAAAAACTTAATTTCTGCGAATATACGTTCCCCAAACACATAATAAGATCATCTGTATTTAACAATTTATACGATACACGCTCTGAACTAATTAATTTAATGATGAAGCTAATGAATTTTCACGCAATGCTATTCGTTACACGTAATATATATTACGCGCTTCCGCAACAGTTGTGATGACATGTTTCAGTACGTTATTCCCTCGAATAAGGCAAATAGAATTCTACTGGCGTAAGAGCAACCCCTGTTTGTTGATTACTTTACTTTCTTGGAACTAAATTTCAATGACACTATATTATTTTACATAAATGTGTAACACGTTATCCTTAATAACTCTATGCTAACCAAATTGATAGGACTGCAGCTAATAGGAGGTGGCACGGAAAAATAGTCAAGTCTCATGTACGCCCAAGTAATTTAGTGAATAACGCTTATACCCGGCTAATATCCTGCGGAAGCGAGCTTGCATAACATAATCCGCTGGCGTTAACTTCTGACAGCCTCATTCAAGTCGTGTGAGTGAGAGCATCTGTTTTAGAAAAACGTCAGGTGACTGAGATGAAACCAGGTTCGACTGAACGAACTTCTTTGTGAACCCTCAATATCTTCTTTGTGTTTATGTCCTGTCGTAGAAACCTTTGTCAGCAAACTTGGAGCAAATGTACCTGACCTAGTTATGTTTTCTTCTATGTTATAAACTGATAACACCTGACCAATGTTTTTTGGCTTCTTTGGAGAAATATTGGATCGAGATGTTTAAGAAGTTGTCACTGGTTATTTATGAGATCAAAAAGACACGACACTCGCTTTTAAACGTTTTGCTTTCTGATCATGTTCACCTTTGTGTTCTACGTCTCGCGATTTGGCATTTATCAAAAACAGCTTTTTACAAACATCGCATACCCACCTGCGTTTTGATAGACACGCAGTTTATCTACGTATACGCAGTACATCCGAAATTTTTTGGGCAGTAATTGGCCAGTATACGATGACTGAAAGGCTAACGAATAAACTATCACAATCCTATTGAAAACCACCGCTAGCGGATACATCCAA